AGGAACTGAACCCTGATTGTGGTGTGAGGTTTAAATGTAACACTTGTATGCATGCCTGACACCTGGTGTCACCCTGCCAGCACAAAGGACCCCATTCATCCAAAAGACCTTGGCATTTGTCACCCAGGAGTGTTGCAGCAGCACCCCAAAGATTTGGTGAAGCCTGCCAGCATGGTGGACTTTATTACCCAGGAGAGCTCTGTGCTTGCTGCTTGAACCTATAATGGGTACACAAGATCTCCAGCCAGCTGGGTAATCCACGTATCTGCTGTCCTGAAGCATAACCCTCCCTGGCACTGAAAGGCAACAGGCTGTGTTACTGCTCCCCATGCCAGCATATGGCACCAGGCAGGCACATATCCTTTTCCTTGTTATCCTTCTTCCCTTCTCACCAGGATCCTGACAACTGCACCAAATGCAATGCACTGGCATGAGGGCTTGTTATAGATCCCAATAAAAAAGGCACTCAGAGCCCACAATATAGTCATTAAAATACCATTTACTGGACATAGCCATGGCACCCTGTACAGATCCCATCCCTGCTGAGGTTCTTAAGGGCTTTTATAGGAATTTCCTAGGGGTAAACAACTTTATGCATCATTTTGCTGTCAAGAAAAAGGTTGTTCACATGAGAACATGCTGTTTCTAAGACAAAGACATGGTGGTGGCATCACCACCAGGGGCCCATGGGAATCACCTATGGGCTCCTCAGAATTAGCCAGCTAAGCTTATCTTGCAGCCAAGTGATACGTGCAGCATGGCACAGACACGCTCCCACCTACTCAGATCTACTGTCATGTGAACAATGTTTCTGTGAAGACCTCCTAATTCATAATTGCTCCTTCTACTTCTCTCCTGTTACCTTGGAATAAAGAAGCAGATCAGCTACTTAGGGAGTAGGGGTCTGGGTCTCCCTGCCCCTGCCCCCCATTGCTCCCCCTTCTCTCCCAGTTCTGCTGTGACAGAGGGCACACGCTTCAAACACAGCACATGAGCTCAGCTCCAGTGAGAACATTCCGCAGCTGTGTCAATATTTGAGTTTGGATAAGCACCAAAGAGAGAACAGTAGGAAGCACTGCACCTTCAGATACAAGCCCCCTCATATGCCTGTGCTCCAAGCACTCAGGGAAGACTTAGCTCACATGCCTCTACAGAGAAAAATAATTAAAAATTAGGATACTCAAAGGTTTATCAGCTGAATTCACCTTCCATCTTTACATCACATCAAAGTGTCATGGATCTCACTCTAGCACCTTGTCTGCAAATAAGTCATAAAAGTTCACCAAAAACAAAAATTAAGGTAGAAACTGCAAAGAGCAGTTTTTAGGAGTGTCACATAACTGCATTCATAGCACCCCAAAAGGGAACTGTGCTACTTCTGATTCCCTGCTGCCTTGTGCAGTGGGCATAAGAAACCCAGAGAATTTAAAGCCACTAAGCAAGACTAAGCAAAAAAACTTGAGGAATTGCAGAGGTCTGAGAGGCATAAGACAGAGAACAATAATAGCTAAAATTGAGGATTCAGCAAATGAAAGTGGTGTTCCTGTAACATGTGAAAAGAGTGCAGAGCAGGCAAGTCTGAAAGACCTGTTAGGTCTGGTATTGTCAGCTCTCCCGAGGAGGTCAAATTCACATAGCTGTGCACTGCATTCCTGCAACACGACTCATTTACATCAGCATGCCTCAGCTGGCAAATGGGCACTGAAGAAGATGGAGCACAGGGGATATTGAGATGTAGTTGAGGCAGTGCTGTCTTTTAGTGTTTTGGTGCAGGGATAGGAAATATGGGGATGAGAGGAAGCAAGAATCTGTGAACAGGAACAAGGGAAAAAAATTATTGAACCCAGCTTGAACTTGGAGAGGAAATCTTCTTGGATGATCTTCTGAGCGAGGATGAACTAGTCAACCTTTATGTGGAGAGGTGAGGAGACTTTCAGCTGGGGATACTGAAAATTGCACAGTGAGACACAAAACTATCTTTTTCATGTCCTCAGACAGACTGTCCAGTCATCATAAGCAAAGGAAATTGACAGCAAGCAAACCAGGTAACAGCAGAGAAGGAACATTCAGCCCTAGCTCCAAGGCAAAACTTTGCTTCTGCTAATTGTGCAAAATACTCTTTATATTACAAGTTACCTTGTAAACACTTGGAAAGCTGCTTGCCAGTAATGTCTGGCACCAGCATGAGCTTCAAATGATCAGAAGTGTTGCTTAGCTCCAAGAGTAAAAGCCCAGGAAAGTGCTTGAATAGCAACAAGTAATTAAAAAACTTGAAAGGAAGGCACTGTTCAAAGTCTCACTGCTTTGAGACTTTTCCTGCCTTCCCTGCAGTCACTGTCACTGACTGACAATGTAACACAGGCAGAACAGAAGCACTGCTCATTAACGCTGTGTCTTCTCTAGGAAGTTATTCCCATCAACAGCCAATGCCTTCCCTGTGCCAGGCCCAGCATGTGGCATGTGTAGGCTCATAGCTTCAATGAGCAGCTACTGCAAAGACGTTTATATAGGCAGTTACCTCCAAGACTGCTAATTCTTCCTGGGGCTGAGCCACAGGGCCTTGTTGCTAACAGAGAGATGAGAGAGCTAGGTTTTATTTTGATTTTTTTACCTCATTTCAATAAGTACAGAAGATCAGCCAGGGCATGTTGGGACAGCTAGGTATCAGTCTTGACCTCTACCACTTCTGCCATGGCTCCTGAAGCCCATCCCCTCCTGAATGATGACCATGTCACTCAGTGAGGCCTCATCCTGCATCATAATGCATTTGTCCTCATACTTGAAGAGGATGATTTTGATTATATCCTTTGCTGATGGACACATAGCCTTTGTACTGTGTGCCCCAGGATATGGAATGTGCCTTTAGTAAGTAGCAATGCAGTGACTGCTGGCTGTGATCAGCAGCTCAGCCTCACTCACTGGCTTCAGCACCCCCACCACCATGAGCAGGGTGAGCTCTGCCACAAGCCCTTGCTGCTGGCCTTTCCTCTGTGGCTTCTTTCTTGCTGCTGAGGTAAGCCCACAGCAAGCAAGGCCACTGTAGTGGCGAGTTCCTTTTACCACCTTGTGGGCGAGGACATAGTGCACAAGGCTCTGGGGAAGGACATAGCATCTGCAGGGCTTGCCAGCCAGGTGAGATTTCTGATGGCACCACAGCTTAGTGGCCAGGGTGTAGGAGTTGCTGCACTGCTTGCAGGTGAAAGTGCACTACCCCATGTGCAGGCACATGTGGTTGCACAAGGAGCTGGAGTTGGCCAGATGACACCCACATAAGGCACACTGGCACCTCTTGGGACCAGCTGGGCCAGTCCCAGCAGCCAGATGGATCTTTCTGTGCGTGCAGAGACAGAGCCAGCATGCAAAGGCCTTGCCACACTGCTGGCAGGACAAGGGGTGCTGGCTGCTGCACAGGACCTGGTGCTCCTGCAAGTCTCACTTGGGGCAGCAAACCTGGTGCACTGGAATGGCCACACAGCTCTGTGGGCCAACATGTGAGTCTTGAAGCTCCTTTCTGAACTACAGCTCTTGCCACACTCTGTGTGCAGGAGGGGCTTGTGGCCAGGACGGACAAAGTGGTGCTTCTTGGGGTGGCAGAACCACAGGAAGGCTTTATCATACTCCCTGGAGCACAACCTGTGCTTGATCATCCCCTTTTGGAACAGAGATTAATCCTCCACCAGCTGTGTATGTTCCTTCTGCCACTTGGGCCCCTCCAGTGAGTCCTTCCCCTGATGCTCTGGGAAAGCCAGTTTGAAGGTTTTGGAAGCTTTGCCCTCCTTCTCACAAATCTGTACAATGTCTCCTTCTGTAGGACTGACTGGGCTTCTGGGGTTCCTGCCCAGTTGTCCTGCCGTTAGATTCCTTCAGACACTTCTGGAGTGGGCTGGCCAGAGCATGTACCTTGCATGGCTTGCCAACTAAGGGAGCATTGAATCAAACCCTACTCGAGAGAGACAACAGATCCAGGTCTTCAGGACTTGCCGCCTGCTGTCTCATTTCCACTTTCTTCTGCTGGGATCCACACCCTTATCCAATTTTTCTTTGCACTTGCCATTGGTCTTAATGGTTGAAATGGGCTCAGCATGCTGATTCTCAGTCCCCAGCACACTGGCTTGTCATGGCTCACGTTTGGAAGTTTCTTGCAGTCTGTGGAAATATTTGGTAGACAGCCTGCTAACAGGGTCATTGAGGACTGTGGTTTCACAAAGGCATGATGGGTGAATTAAGGCTAGCTGTTATGTGACATGATTGCTGCTGGATAAGAGGAAGATGAACGCTGGAGGTGGATACTCTGCCATGCAGTAGTCCTGGGGCTCTGCCATGAGAACCATTACTTTTATGATCTTTTTCCCTTTTAAACTGGGGAAGAGGGACGAATTTCTCACCAGAGACAGTACCCGTGCAGCATTGCTATTGTTTCACAAGCAGTATTTCTAGGACATATGGTCACGACTGGCATAAAACAGGGCGCCGTGCTCTTTTCTCGGCTGGCAGCTCCTGAAAGCGGCGCGCGGTGCGGACAGACGTCCCGCAGGGGCTGCAGGGCGCGCACATGCCGGGGACAGCTGAAGGCGCAAACCCGGCGCTGGGGAAGGCCGGGCCGCTCATCCCACCCGCTCTGGGCCTCGGCACGCCCCTACGAGGGGCTCTGCCTGCGGGGGTGCCTCGGGACCCCGGCGCCTCCGCAGCCGGCCCTCGGCCTGGGGCGCTCCGTGCCGCCGGAACGCTGCGAGAGAGCGGCGGGCGCGCCCGGACGGCGGCCGGCAGCGGGCGGGGCGGGGCGGGGCGGGGCGGGCTCCCCCGGCGGCGAGGCCGCGCTTCCGGCGGGCGGCTGTGACAGGCGGGCGGCGGCAGCGGCAGGTACCGCCACCGGCGGGGCGACGCGGGGTACCGGGGAGCGCGGCCGGGCCCTGCCTGCAGCAGCGGGGCCCCGCAGCCTGTCCTGGTGCTGCTGCGGCCGCAAGAGGCCCGGTGGCTGGGCTGGGCTGGGGCTGAGCGGGCCGGGGCTGGGCTCAGAGCCCCGAGCGCTCCGCCTGGGTGGTGCCGGGCTCGCCCTGAGTGAGGGAGCGGCTCGGTTCGTCCGCGGTGTGCGCCTGGCGGGGAGAGCGCGGCTGGTGAAGCGCCGCGGGCACCGGGGCGGGCCGGCTGCCCTTGGATCTTATTCACCGCCGATCGGGGCAGGCGGCGCGGGTTCCGGCGGAGCGGCACCACCGGGCTGGCTGCTGGCTGCTCCCGACCTCGGCAGGGCAGCCCCTGCGGCGGGGCTGGCGCGGAGGCCGGCTGCCATTAACCCCGGTGCCCAGCAGCAGGGGCTGGTACTTGTCCTGGCTTCAGGCGTGTACTAGGGCACGCTTGTTTTAACAGTGTAAACAGCAAATCCGTGAGCCTCGTAAGCAATCCTGAGGCTCGCTAAGGGGTCTCCCAGGAGATGAGTCGAAGGGAACGGGAGAGAACAGATGTATTGTGGAGAGGAGGAGGAGGAGGAGTAGGGGAAGGAGTAGGAGGGCTGCAGCCCGCGCAGGGCTGTGTGTGCCCCACTGCCTTCCTCACATGTGAGTCCTGGGTGGATCCTGCACGGCACTGAGAGCAGATTCTGTACTTTGTGCAGCAGCTGCGGAAAGAACACTTGGAGAGTTCAGCACTTTTGCTCTCAGGCCCTGCAGAGAACCCGTAAGGGGAGGTTGACTTCTCGCTAGGTTGGATTCCCAGCGGGCACAGAGGTGGCCTTCAGTAAACAGATTGAGATGACTGAGGAAGGAAGGCTGCTCAGTTAAAAAGCTGTTGGAATATGAAGGACCGAAGGGCTTCCCTGAGCTATAGTGTTTCTGAGCTGAGTTTACTAGTCATGGTGAACCAGGATAAGGTCTGGCCCTTGACATCTATGTTCTTTCAGGGTTGTGCAAGGGTAGTGATGCTCTTGGTGGTATCATCAGTCTTGATGTGAGGGAAGATAAGGGGTGGGCTTTGTGGATGAGTCTTGGTTATGGACTTCATTCATGCATTTGAGTACTCTGAAGGTCTGCTGCTCACTAACTGCTCTCTTTTCTTTCAAACATACTTGTTTTTGACGCTATAGCAAAGTGCAGGCCTTGATTGATGTGTACAGAAAAAGAGACATCTGTGCAAATAAGCTGAAACTGGGAGGAGGTGTGGATGGCAGCAGAGTCAGAAAAATAATCCTGGAACCAGGACTGTGTTGCATCTGCCCATTGCTTGTTCATCTTGCATGGAAGAAGAGGCCACTTTGTTTCTGTAATTCTTTATTGTGTGTATAGCTCCAGGGTGTGGTAGTATATGCATGTACATGTTTTGAAGTGTAATTCGCTTCTGAACTAATAGTACATCTGGAAGAAAAACAGGAAAAGGAAACTACCAAGCAGGTGTAACTTAGAAATAAGTGATAGAAAAGTAGTGCAACTGAAATTGCAGAAAAAAATAGTTTTCATGAACAGCAGCTACCAAGATTTCCTGGATGTAATGTGAAAGGTCTTCCCTGGGTAAATTCTGGATCTTATATAAGGAATTTTCAGTTCAGAATTTTTATGAAAATTGTATTTTAATAGTCTGAGTTCTCTCCTTTAGTGGAGTGTGGTGTTCTCCATCACATGTCTCTCTTATCTAGGAAAGTTAATTTTTATTACACAGCAAGTGTTCAGGTATAGTGCAGTTGCAGAAAACCTAATTAAATACTTGGAAAAAATGGTAAGAGTTAGCTCTTTAAAGCCGGGCAGTAAGTAAACGCTTCTGCTGTCATGTATGATTCTTTAGGTTTTAAATCTTTGGCTAGAATTTTTGTTTTTCAAAATCTAGGTATGTAATTTTTCTTATCTTATTATTTGGTATATGGAGTGTACCACTTGCATCTTCTCATGCACTCTCAGGTTCAGTTTTTATACTGAGTTAAATCTGTTGAAATGCTCTTTTATTGTTAAAAACTATTAAATGTTTTTAACAAACACTTTACCCATTTTAACAACTATATCACTATGATACATGTGGACTTTCTGTTTAATGACAGATCCTTAGGGATCATTTTTGAGTACACAGGGAAGCATCTCATGCAGCTGCACTATTGGAAAGTGAAATGTATATCCTTATATGAAGAGCCTTAATTTGTGTCTTATGTGCTAACTCCAGTTCTCTCTTTCTCAGAGCCTACCAGCTCCCAGGCATTTAGAGGACTGCATGTCCTAAACTGCTGTATGGTTATCTGATGCGAGAGCCCATGATTTTGGCTTTTAGATGTTGGAAAAGGGCTGGAGAAAATTCTGAAAAACCTTCTGGGGCTGTCTGGGTACTACAGTATGGTTCACAAGAAGGATCTGAATTCTAGGAGGTCTTCTGCTCTGGATCCTGCTTCCATTAACACCATGGAGCAGAAACCTATGGCCAAGGAATGGAGCTGGCTGTGAAAACTATGTGAAAGTTTCTGGAGAGCCTTGTCTGTTTTTCCAAGGGGTGAGGCCAGCGCACTATCCACTGGGCTCTTTTTGCAGTGTGGATCCTATTAACAACTTCCTTCTTCCACATGGTGCCACACTAAGACTAACTTTATGCCTCAGGGGAAGCCCCCCAGTGCTGTGTAATAGCCTGCTCTTCTGTCTCTGGACAAGTGCTGCAAGTTGACTGTGAAGCCAAATGGTGAGTGTAGGGACAAGTGTAGGGACACTTAGTGACTTGCTGGCCTTATGGCAGTACCATCACTGCTCTGTGGGGGGATTTGGATTTGGTCCCCAAGGGTTTCAGGACTTGGCTTTGGGGAAGTGGTTGCTACCAGGTGTCCCCAAGAATCTCTCATGAAGGGCATCTCAGTGGATGGCAGCAATCGAATGTGGGTCCTCTGTCCCTGCTAGGGCTGGGAAGTCGGTGAGAGCTGTGAATGCTGAGAGGCTGTCCTGGGGAGCCATGGATGGAGCGCTGGCTTTTGGGGCTGCTGAGCTCCTGTGGGAAATGCTTTAAGCTCGCTGAGTCATAGGAGTCAGTGCCTGCTGTTACCATAGAAATCGGATCAGCTGTTAGGGGTGGGGAGTCGTGGTCCTTGGCTCCACTGCTGCGTGGTTCCAGCATGAGCTCACGGTGCTAGGGAACCTGATTTCTTGCTCCTTGCCCTGTCGAGATCAGAGGAGGTGGGGCAGCTCTGGCAGACCTGACAAGAGGACAGGGAAAATAATTTTGTTTGGATCTTTGCATGGCTGCAGTGGTGGGACCCTGTGTGTCTGATGTGCTGTGTTGATGACCTGCTGTCTGTATATGTCATGCTCTTTCATGTTTTGGGAAACATTGCATTTGATTAGCAATAGCTTCTAGTCCTTTGGGAGCCCCAGAGAGGTGAAAACTGGTTGTAAACTGGTGAGTAGCAGATAAGGGAGGACAGGAAGTAAATAATAAGCTTGGAATGGTCCAAAGGGAGAAGAAAAACACTGAATATCCAATTTCCTGTGCTCTCAAAATGTATCCCCAAGCTTGGTGGCAAGTATAGACCTGAGCTTGGACGTGACACCTTGCAAAGCTCAATTTCTCACAGATTTCATCCTCTGTGCTCAGTCTGAGTAACTGTTTCATTGTTTCCTCTGGATGAATATACGTATTCAAGATCTAGGGATGGAAGATGCAAAACATCGTTGCCCCCTCTCCATTCTGCTAAAGGAAATAGCTTTACTGTGAATATACTTTTCACACTAGGGTGTTGTGCCTCCTCAGATAGTCTTTGAACCTTTTGCTCTCCTCATAAAGCAAAATAAGCACAAGCATCTCTGTGAAACAATGTTATAGAGACTCTTGCTGATGCAAAGTGTCCCTTGGTTTTTCTACAGTTCCTCTTGGCTTGCTGCCTGCTGACCACTGAAATACTGTCCATGTGGTCTGTTTGAGCAGTCCAGATCTATATAGTTGTCCTTTTTAATGTTTCCTTGCTTACTTCCAGGAGACTGAATTCAGAGGATAACAGCTGCTTCCCAAGGATTGTCCCTAAGAGTTGGTACTCTTAGGAGGTCCTGTATGCTGTGCTAGCTCAGCTGCAGCTTTAATGTATCTTCCGCTTCAGATGAGGGTGAGAAGTATTTGCAAACAACAGCAAATGCACTGAGCTGTTGTTTCTTGGACCCTCTTAATTTTTTGGTCTCCTTATGGCATGCTTGGTGAAAAATACTCATTCAGGCAGTATGACTTTAAATGAAAGAAGTGATTCCTTGCTGCTAGCTATTATGTCGGTGATGCTGAAAGGCGGTGAGGATTGTATGTGTATTGTTCTCCCTGCTTTGCTAGCTCCGCCTAAAAAATTCCTGTTTTAAGGAGCTGTTCATTTCTCTGTTCAGATCGCAGCACACTGAAGCACCCACTTCAGTGTTGTTGAGAGCTCTGGTTCTCCATTATGGGGAGAAGGAGGGGGGGTGATTCTTGGGAAAGCTTCCAGCACTGGGCCAACTGTGGAAACAGCCGGGCTTTGTGCCAGCCATTCGGAGGGAGGGGGAGCTCAGAGCCATACAGGGAGTGTATCAGGCAGGGGCTGGTGCAGCCTGTCGCCTTCCGCAGAGTCCTGGTGCTGCTTCTGTTTCAGGAGAGAAAAGCTATTCTGCCCAGAGCTGTGGTCAAGCAGAGACTCCTTGAGAGGGTTGGTACAGCCCTTGATGGCCTTTGATAGTAATTGGCATGAAAGAATCTGACATGTTGTGCCTCTGGCGAGGAGGAGGAGGAGTTCCTGCTTCTGTTAAGGAGGAGGGGACACAGTCTCTGGATAAGTAAAGATAAGGGAGTATTGGGGGGATGTCAGTGAGAAGAGGAAGCATCTCTGTGAGGAGGTAAATTTGTGATCTCTGTGTCTCATCTAACAATCTTTGCAGTCTGTGTTCTAGACACAGTGAAATAAACTGCGGTATTTGGGGACCATGGCTACAGACCCACTCTCGGAGCTTCAGGACGACCTGAACTTTGATGATACCAACCAGTCCCTCAGCCAGCTCAAACTAGCCTCCATAGATGATAAGAACTGGCCAGCAGATGAAGTCCCTGCTTTTCCCAAATCAGGTAAGTATCCTGTTTGTTTGAGATCTGGGTTTTGGCCAAAAAGCAGTTGTTTGTCTTGCAGCATTGTGGTCATATCTACATACACAGAGAGCCCTAGCTCCATTTAAAAGCTTTATAGACATATTTAACTTTCACCACACCCAAGTGAATCAGCCTCAGTATTGAACAGCACTAAGAAGTGCAGAGCCAGCTGCTGTAAATATGCTCTTCTCCATCCTGTGCCTGGCTGCATTTTGGTACTGACAGAATAGATGTGCTGTAAATCTTTGAGTATGCTCCATTATGGTCTCTTGCAGGAGAGTTTGGCCTTCTGGACTGGAATGGTCTCAAACTTCCATCTGGGAGGTGGGGCTGGAGATCTGAGTTGTTGCTCTGAAATCCTGTGCTGTGAACTATGAACAGAGAGGTCAGGAAAATTAGCTGAAGGATATACAGTATGACCATCCATCAAGGGACTGTGTTAAGATCCTCGTTTCCTAAAAAGCCATGATGATGTACTTGGGTTTTGTCTTTGTGAATATTTGTGACATATCTGAACATTTGAGAGAGTATACATTCTGAGGGACACATGGGTCTCATAGGACTGAGAGGACTCTTCTGAAGTCATTGCTGCTCTTGTCCACTCAGAATTTCAAAAGTGGGTTTTCAAGGTGTATAGTTGCATACATTAGTCCCTCCCAGGTAGAAGTGCCATTTTTTCTCATACCTCTATCTCTTTGTACTTGCCAGTGTGCTCCAGATCCCTTCTTCTGATGGCTTGTTTCTTGTACTTTGTTCAGATGATTCCAAAGGCTCCCCTGAGCCAGTCACTCACCTGCAGTGGGATGATCCCTACTATGATATCGCCAGGCACCACATTGTGGAAGTAGCAGGTAGGAGCCTTTTTGTTTTCTCCTTTGATGTCTTTGCAGCTGGGCTGAGGAAGGACTTTTCTAATAGGGCTCTGGGGACATCTGCTGTTTGCCAAGGCCGAGTGGCGAGGACAGGTGGCACAGAAGGAACACCAAACTTCTTGAATGTTTGTGATATGTGTAATTTTCTATTGACTTCAGCTAAACTTGGGTTACTTCTTGGCACTTGCTGACTTGATGATATTATTGTCAGGACTCAGTTGCTTTTGCTGAATTGTTTTAGAGATGGCTCTTTACTACACCCCAAGCACAAAAGTGTTTTTTTGCTTGATAATGCCACAGAAATTATGTAATTAAGCAATACAGCTGTAAGGTTCACAGCTGACTGGGTAATCCACAGTAGGTGGCATCACTCATATCTGAATGGCCAGAGCTTGCCATCCTGCCCAGAAATAATATGTACAGAAATGTGAAATAGAGGGAATAAGCATGTGTTACATTGCAAGGAAAGACCTGTTCATTCAGGGTCACAAGCATTTGGATTTTCTTTGTGTTTTCTTGTCTATATTATTTTATTTGTGCTAACCCTTGATGATATACTGCTGGGACCTCCATGAGAAAGCATTTTGGAGGTATTCTTTAGGTTGCTGTGGTGAGCCTGAGTGAAGGGTAAGGCCAGTTTGTCTTGTGTTCCTTGTTTTTAAAAAGATGAAGCACTTCTACAACTTGTTGTGACTTGAGTCATGCCTCTTGCTTGACTATAGCCACCTCCTACCCCTCCTGCTGCCGCCTCCTACCCCTCCTACTGCCATCTCTCTTTACTTTGGTCCCTGCCCCACATGTGAATTGTCAAGGAAGTGCACAGGCTGGAGTCTTCCTGATTCAGGGCTGTTCTGCAGCAGAGTTTGACCACAACAGAAAGAGGCTCAGGCACTTACTTTGGTAAGAGTTGTCTCGATATCATTCTTTTCTGGGCAGTTTTCTCAAATGAGCTTTCTTTTTCCTGATCTCTCATGTTCCATCTTTCGTGGAACAAAATTATAATGGCAGACTCAAAACCTGGTTGTTTATTGTTTTACTGCTCAGTGTGACAAGCCAGGTGTTTGGCATTTGGGCTATTATACCTTATAGATTTGCCAGAAGTTTTTTCATTTACAAATGTGTTACTAAGCTTCTTTTCCATGGGACTGGAGTTTCAGGAGTTTATAGAGGTCTGCACCCTGGTCTCTGTTGCTGAAACTGGAAAAGGATAGATGTATGGACTCCACCATTACAGTAGTAGTGGCTTAAGAGTAATAGAATATTTGGAATGCGAATGGCACAGGTAACTGGTGTTTGAGGACTCTGGGAAAGGGTGAGTTAAATCATACAGTTGTTCACATTAGGCTAAGCTTCAGACAAAGTGCTTAGCAGCGTTGAGATCAGAGACATTGATAAGACTGGAATGTCAGCCCAAACCCTCGCTGAATGGAGTATCACTCCAGTGGATGTGTGTGTGTCAGTGGCTGTTGGAATGCAGCCATTTTGCCATTTGAAACGGTCTAGGGTAGCAAATGAAGAATTAGCCAGCTTCCTGAAAAGATTCCAGGGTGGGATGGTGGCTGACTGCGAGCTGTGACTGCATTCTGAACTCTTCCCCATTGTGGTTTAAATTTGTATTCCTACTGAGCTCTGTGTCCCTGCAGTGTCTCTGTATAGTACAGAAACAGCTCAGAGAAGCTTCTGTTCTTGGCTCTTGCTGGCCGGTTTTCACCGGTAGCTGATGTGTCTGAAAGCATGTGATGGTCCCACACACGGTGTGTGGTGTGATGCCTTTCTTGGCACTGGGAGAGCTTGGAGATAGAAATTTGCTGCCTTGTAGGTTTAAGACTTGCTGGTTTCTCATCTCCTGAAAGGAGAATTTAGGAGGTTGATCAAAGAGGTCTTGTAGTCTTGGTTCTGGGGTGAAGCTGTTAATTTTTTTTTTTTGGTCAGTAATTGATTATTTTAACTGTTCAGAGTATCAGACAGGGTAGTCTTCTCTGGATTGTTGTTCGAGGCAAACAATCTGGGAAAGCCTGTAAAAATCCTATTACAGGTAGCCTGGAGAATAAAAATTTCACTGGAGGATTAATATGAAACTGTTCAGATGTGGCTCTGCTGACAAATTGTGTTTATCAGCAGCTCCAGGTCCAATGAACACTGTCTATGCTGAGCCTGAAACAAAATTACCCTGGATCTCTTGTAAATATTAGCAAATGGCAGCAGATCATGAATTGTTTTATCCACTCTGTTGATTCATTAGCTTTCTGTCCCATGTCCTTCTCTGTTTTGCAGTTCAGAGCAGAAAGCTCATGGCTAACTCTGTTCCTGTCTGCCCTGAAATATGTTCGGGGATGATGATGCTATTTTGAGACAAAAACAGAAGGCTGGTTCCCATCCTTGGGCTGAACTCCATGATCCCAGTGTTATGCTGTGTGGTCAGAAAAGTAATTGCTTTTGGCTGGATATGTGCATGGTGTTAATAACTTTTGAAAAGCCTAGTTTTGATGACAAAAAGTTAGCACACTCATTTGCTAGCTGACCTTTATTTCTGATTCAGTCCAAGGCATGCTGGATTTGAAAAATCTGGCTATCTGATCTAAGAGGGGGAAGTATTGAAAAGCATTTTGCGGAATTTTCTAGGAAAATAAGTTTTTGGGGTTTGTTTTTCACTTAAAAATAGTGCAGCAGTTTCATGGAGACTCTCATTTGTGCCCTATGCTCCTGTCTCTTCTGGGGACTGGATTTGTGGGAAGAGGCTGTCCATGGGAAAGGAGCAAGCATGTCACTGCTGTCCCATGTGGTGGTGTGTTATTCAAAGATGACAGCAAAAGGCATCGGGGCCACCACAGTCCTGAGGGAGTACTCAGAACTGGAGTATTGTTAGGAATCACAATGTTTTGGTTTAAGGAAATCCTCTTTGATTCTGGGACTCGATGCTTTTGCAAAGGAAGATGTTGGTGTTCTGCTGATTGTTTCAGACCTGCCTTAAAGTGTATGTTTATGAAGTGTTTTATGCACGCTCTTCTGGAGAGGTCTCTCTGTGATTTTGTTCTTCTTAATTCTGAGTGCCTCTTTTTGTGAGCACTGTAGCAATGCAATTCTTCTTTACATGTGGCCAGAAGCTGAAAGAGAGGAGGCTTGATGTCATTGCACAGTCCACTTCTGCAGAGTGTTTTCCTTGCTTACGTCACGTAGCATTCAGAGGAAACACAAGCTCCTGGTTGAGGGCTGTTAAGGAACTATCCCAGGTTTCTGTTATGTTGAGAGTTTCTGTGTTCTCCTGCCAGTTCTTACAGCAAAGATGCTGCTTCCGTCGTTTTGCAGGTGGAGGCAGACTGGGCATGATATAGTCTTGGCCTTGGATTTTAGCACAGGCTGAATTGCAAAACTAAGGCAGGTAGTTAATAATAGTCTAAAGGAGGTTTCTGGAGATGGAAATTCATACTGGAATCTTGTGGCTGTGTGGGAAGAGCAGTGCTCTTGTCAGCTCTGGCAAGGTGTTCCTTCCTCGTTCTATTGCCCATTGTGAAATACTGGTCTCTTTTTTGTGGTCAATATGCAAAACTATGGCTATGAGGTTCATCAGCATTCCTATTTTACACAATAACTGCCTTGCTTTCTGTGAGGATAAGAAAACGGGGGCCTAACATATATTGACATATGAATTTCTCACTGCCATGGAGGGTAGAAGATAGTGTATCAGTGGTCAGAAAAGTGGCTGTCACTATATACTCCAGCTATGTAGTCCTTTCCTAGTGATTTCAAAACTTTGTTGGAGCTCAAAGCATGTTTCTGCTAGTTTGTGTGGGAAATCTGCTGCCTCACACCAATATTTGTCAATCTGTGGGGCTGCCCTCACAAAAAAGCTGTGATGCCAATACGTGTAAGACCTGTAACTGAAGTTGGAAAACAAGATGGAGAGCTATGAGTGTACCTTCTTTTGTGTTACTGGATTGAATCTGCAATTTCAGCAGTAAATCTCTTTTCATTGGTGAATCTGGTACCAAACCTACCCAACAAACATGACTGCAGGTGCCAAAGCTGTAACTGGTGCTGATGATTTGCTGTAGGTGTTGGTGATTGACATGGGGAGGTAAAATCAATCTTGGAGCACCAGTAGCTGTTGTTTCTCTAGGCAGGCAAAGGTAGAAGTGGCAGACAAAACTTGTATTGAAGGTGTGTTGCAGGGTGTCTTTATGGCTAATGGACTCAGCAGAGGCCCATTAGCAAAGGGTAGCAAAAAGGTCCTTTTTGCTTCAGGTGTGGTACATTGTTACTGGCTCCACCAGTACAGACTGCCTGCATTTCTGCTGATTTTGGATGTAGTTTCTGGCTTTTAGCTTTTTTGTTTGTTTAAGAATATTTTGTATGATAAAAAAATATGAATTGCCTCTATACGATTGAGACCATCCAAAGCAAGCCCAGCTTGTGCACCATATTTTGATATGTAAGGTCAAGGGAAGGGAGAGTATCTAAGGAATTTTAAGTTTCTAAGAGAGGCTGAGAGAATGGAGAATTTCTTCCTAGAGCTCTGCTCTGCAAAGGCTCCTGTCTCGATAGGCCCATGTGGGTCTGTTGAGTGTATAGCTATGAGAGTGATGGAAAGGGACTGGGTGTGATAATAAATGCCTTCATAAACTAGAGGAACCTTTTAAAATTCTAATTGGCAGTTCAATTTTTTTATTCAGAATCTAGTAATCATAAAAAACGTTATGGGTGTGGGATGTGTTATTCATATGATATGACGCCATTCTCTGTACACTTCTGAAGTTGTTCAGAGGACAGTTGTTCAGAATTAATTGCAATTAACCCTTTTAAAAGTGACAGTACAGCAGTTACCATTTTGGTGGCAGAGGAAGTGTTACCGTAAAAGCAAGAAATTTGATTATACAGTTAGCTGCAAATTCAAAAAGGAGATTTGGGAATCAAGGGTTGCTATAATTGTTGCTCAAGTAATTGCTTCTAATTGTTAGATAAGGGTGCTTTTTGCAGAGGAGCATGGGGGAAAGATGAAATGGAAGGAGTTTGAATCCTGCAATAGAGCAGCTAAATGCATCCCAGTGGCTATCTTGTTAGGCTCTCAGACTTTACCCTCATGATTACTTTCTGGGACAGGATGCAAAGCTTGGCTTGCTATAACTTTTTTTCTGTTCCTCCAGACCAGGGTGCACTTGATGGGGCCCAACCAGGTAGGTAGATTTTTTGTGACACTAACATTTGGTTCTGTAGATCATGGTATTCCTTTAGCATGACCATGGCCTGTAGCTGGACTGTCTCAGGGGAGCCCAAACTTTGCTCAGCCTTAGGCTGCACTGGCAATTTTTCAGGAATCCAAAGACTGCACAAAATTGTTGTCTGAGGGCTGCACCTCTGCCTCAGGCACAGCAGAATCATGTGAGCCAAATTTGGTGTGTGGGCTTTACTTTGGGCACTTTGGGTCTCATGGGTCTCAATGTAAATCCTGTTTCTGTCCTGTCATGGTGGTGGCCTGCTTGGACCAGTTCAGTTTGAAATCCAGTTTATCCTTTTTGTCTTACGTGGTTTGGAAGTTCATTCAAGGATTGCTTCCTATTCTTTCACATGATCTGCTGCTGCACTCACATGCTAAGCAGCTGGCACTTAAACTGGATTCTCCATCTGAAAGCAACTGTTATCTACTTCTTCTCCATTTGGCTGCAGAGATGTTGTCTTCTGGTAACTTGTTTGCCCAAAGCTGTGCTTGACTGCCCTGGGCGTGCTGAGCATTTGTTAATACTCTCCGGACTTCAGTCCTAAGTCTCAATAATTTGGCTGCTGGTGCTTTCATGCTTCTCAATGTACATGAAAACTATTGGTGTGAAATTCTTACTGCTAAGACCTTCACACAGTTCATGGAAATGCTGATTCTCATTTCCTCATTATGTGGAGTCTTCTCCCCTTTTTCTATGCTTTCAGACATCCTCCCACTCTGCATTCTTTAATCTGACTCTCTAGTATATTTTTGTATCAGTTAAAGCTATATTCACTTCATAAGGCTTTCTGATTCTGGCAGTGTTTGGATATTGGGAATATCAAGATGGATGAAATCATATATTAAAATGCTTCTGCTTTGAGATCCTTGCCTTCTTTTCCTTCAGGGCTAAATCCACTTGGGAATTCAATAGGCAACAAAAATCTACTATACTTAAACGTATCCCAGCTGTGCCATAAGCTTAGCATAGCTAATTGAAATGAAATTACATTTGACAGATATTTTACTCACAGTGGCTCTGATTAAACATGCTAAGCTTTGTGAAACTTGTGTAATAATATCCCAGTATTCTGTACTGGTGCTCTTTCCTTGACCCTCAACTCTGTTAACTTTGCTGTTTTAGCAGTAACACTAGCTTTCGGTGGCAAGTTTTATCCATCTGCATTGTCTCAGTATCAAAGTACTAGGATAGTCCCATATGAATCTTTCAATAAGATGGGCACCTAACTGAGGCGACCTGATGAAGGTAGGAATGAGCAGTCTCTAGACTGCAGTTAGGCTGCCTCAAATCATGACATAAATGCTAACGGGTATGTTTCAGGATATGTAATGGATTTATTTCTATTTACTTATAAATAGTAAATAGCAGGATTTGAATGCCAAGGGTGTATTTTCCATGTTGGCTGTGCAGATTCATCTAATGCTGTGTCTTGGGACATTACTGCCATCTTGATACGAATTTCTGCTGTGATAGATTCGTATTGCTGCAGGTTTCATTCTGAAACATTTGTCTCAGTATTTTCATTTCAGCCCTTTTAGAAGCTTGGCCTTGCACTCATGGCTTGGAAACAGAGCAGTGATTTTCCTTGCATCTTGTCTTAGAAGTGCCCTGGAAATGCTGCTTTTTGAGTGAGAGGAAAAACACATTCAGGCCTTAAAAGTGCCATGAAAATATTTAGGAGCTTATGTCCATCAGTGCTACAAGTCCTTATCTCTTTAGATGAGCAGCTGTCTTGACTGGCTTTAGATATTGGCTACTGTCTTGCTCTTCATTGTTAAAAGCAAAATAATCTTAATCACATCCTTCAGGGAGGTAGTTTAAGTGTACATTGAAAATAATTTTTAAGTTGGGGTGCTCTGTGAGTACTGATGGTATGTAATTTGTTGTTGGTTTGCTGTTAACTATTGAGCATTCCTCATCTGGGAGAGGTAGGAGGCAGCCAGAGAAGCCAAGTGATTGCTTCATGGTCTGTAATTGTGTTCAGTGGAAACTTCAGCTATTTGCAATTGCAAACAAGAGGTGAAAACCTAGATACATAAGATTAATACTGCAAACAGGAAAGCAAATAGTACAAGGGATGGAGCATCTGGGAAAGATCAAGCCTGATAAGAATCTGTTCTGTAGGAGGCAGAGGGGCCACCTGAAGGTAGTTTCCTCTAACAAGAATGCATGGAATGGGCTTTAGGTTCTTGTTTATAAACTGATTGTTCAGCTTTGATGCTGAATTTTTGATTTTGTCATGTCTGGAGCAAGGAGACTGATCAGATATATGTCAGGTAGAAACAAGATTGGCAGTTGATGGTTTTGAAAGTTTCTGTGTTGACAGGCTGAACTCAGTGTGATGAAACTGGAGCAAAACCCACATCTCAGAAAAGGGCACAGTCATTCCTTTGTATGTCTCATGCATAAATTCATTCTGATTTGGAAGGCAAAACAGGCCACTCCTTTTTCAGTCATCAGGGCACTGTAGATTATCATTTGATGTACTTGGCTCTGGAAATTGTCCAGGGGATACATGCCATCTCCCCTTTGGAAGAATTATGGATTGTCTGTTTATTCTTTACCAGCGATCCCAGACTATGTAAGGAACAAGACTGTAGACTTTACATAGGCCTTGCTGAAGGCTTTTATGTCATTTCAGAGAAAGCTATTTAAGGTATGTCCTTCTGGAACTGTGACTTGTCAGGTCTGATAATCAGTTCCCAGAAGCCTGAGCTGAGTGTATGGCCACCCACAACATGGCACAAACATGGTACTGTACTGCACACCACAGAGGCCTGCCTTGATTAAACTTGAAGTTTGTATCTGGCCTTCAGATCATCCACTCTGATGTGAAATGCAGCTTCAGTTCACTGAAGAGATCATCTCTTCTGAATTTAGCATAATGCTACATATGATCTGTCTTTCTGACCATTCTCTTTTATGACTGTAAAACTCAACAGATTCTCAAATGCTATATCTTCTTGGTGCTTTATACAGGCAGGACCCTTTGTCCTTCAGATAGATACATATGAGATGCTCAAGACCAATGGGAAGAGTCACAATATGCTATGTTTCTTGCCCAGGACTTTGTAACCTGCAATTAGTCTTTTGGACAACTCAGATTACATTAGACCTGGCCCTAAAGCTCACAGCGAGCTGCCAAGAAACTCTGGGGTAGGCAGAGAGTGGGCTACTGTGGGATGTGCAATGTGGTGTTGGTCTTGTGGCCTGGCTGTGACTGTACCCGGTTGTTCCAGATGAGCCTTGCATCAGTCTCTCCTAGCCCTGCATTCCAGGTCATGTGTCCTCCCCAGCTGCCCCGTATCTCCGCATGTGTGCTGCGCCCCTTTCCTGGTCCGTACCTAGTGCTGCTGCAGTGTCCTTAGCTTTGGTAGAATTTCTGGCTTGTGTGCATCAGTAAATTCTGTGTTGTCTGGTGACTTGAAAATGGGACTTGCAAGGTGAAAATAAAAATTAACAAAGTAGTGACAGAATCTGTTCTGGCAAGATGGGAGCCAAAGGGGGCCAGTGGCATCTTAATGTCATGGCTGGTGTGAATGAGTTCTCTGGCTGCCATTTGCAGCACCAAGTGGTCATCTGGTACTAACAGGCAGCATTCCCAGAAATAACCAGGTTTGCTATTCCGAGACCTCAGTTGCTGCGTGGCAAGTGTAGCCAAGTGATAGTTGAGGACCAGAGCCTGTGCAAAGGTGAGAAAATGGCGGCATGCATATTGTAAATCCATGCTGGGAAAAGGATATATTTCAAGAGGAATGATGTATTGCAGGTCAATCCTGCTAAGTGATCCTTGCTGCTTTTCTGTGCTGTGGTCTGTGTGAGATGGTTTACCATATGGGAGTACAGAGGTTATTGTTGTGTATAGCCTCAACAGCCCCATTCACTGTTGCACTCTCTGCTTGAGAAGAAAACACAGGTTTCAGATCAGGGTGAGTAGCTAAAAAGGTGGGAAGACTTTTACCCTTAATACTAAAGGAACCATTTCATCTCCACTGCTGCTAAAAAGAAGTCATCTTAGTGGAAATGGATTGGGTGTCGTGTCTGGGAGAGAATCAGACTTTCCCTCAAACTCTGTATGTCCACAGGATTTGTGACCTGGTTCTCACTTATGCAAATCTCTCTATTCCCCAGCATGTCTGCTAAGCTTGGCCATGTGTGTCTGCTTGGGCTTTGTTCATGGGGCTGATGGCAGAAGTCCGCTGATGGTTGAAGACTTGCTCTGGGTCTCTGAAGCCTCAAGTGGTGGCTGGGGGTATCCTCAATGACATGATGGTGCTTTATGGGTTATTTGGCTCCAGTGTGATGGGGACTGTTTTCTGCATGGCTTTTACAAAGAATGCTTTGTCACACTGCACTTTGCAGCTCCTTCCATCTCAGGCTGGAAAATCTCTCTGTGGATGGAAAATCTAGGAAGCAGTGAAGAGCTTATTCTACAATCCTCCTGGAGAATACAGCAGCCCTGCTTGGCCCATCTGTAGAAGAGACTTGTCTTTGGAAAGATGAGAAATCATCTGGAACTCACTCAGATGAGTTCTCATCTGGAACTGCTCTTTTTCTAGGAATTTCTTGGTTTCCTGGGTATGAAATGGCCTGGGTTCTGTGTGCAGAGCTAAGCTCCAGGTGAAGCAAGAAACAGATGCAGCAGACTATTAGAAATTAGTCTGAGACTGTGTGCAGGGTGGAGGGAGTTATTGCGCCAAGGAGGGGCAGTTTTCCTTGTGCCTCCCTGGACATGTGTGCATCAGGAGCAATGTCCAGGTACGGCTTTGCAGGATTAATGCTCTGAGCACTCTGCTCTGTACTTGCCTCCATCCCTATGTGCCCTGAGGCATTCTGGCTTCCAGTCCTTCATCTCCTTTCAGGGCTGGAGCAGGGAATCTGTTCTTCATTCTCATTGTTGACTTGCCAGGCCCTTGGTGTTCAGGTTTCTGCTTCCACACTAGGCCCATAATAACTGCTGAAAAATGGATTTAGCTTTGCTGGCAGCTGTACCTTGTTACAATGGTTTCTCATTCTTTCTTTCCCCTTGCTGCCAATACCACAATTAAGTCCTTAAGTCCCTGTAATCTCTGGCATTTTATCTGCAGGTGATGACAAATACGGAAGAAAAGTCATTTTGTTCAGTGCCTGCCGGATGCCCCCAAGTCATCAGCTAGATCACGTGAAACTGCTGGGGTAAGTAGAGCCTTAGTAGGCTGCTGTTGATTTCTTAAATCTGACCTAATTCTCAGCTGCTGGATTCTCGAGGACAGATCCATCTGCAGTAGCTTCTTTAGCTGGACGTGTCCTCCCAAGTGCTTACCTCCATTGCTGGAATTGCAAATCCTCTGCTATAGTACACAAAAAGAGTCCCAAAGGGAGGAATATCCTCTCTGTAGCAGAGCACAAAGTGAGTTCATCAGTTCTTTTTTCTCAGGTACCTGAAATTCACACTTGACCAGTATGTGGAGAGTGACTACACTCTGGTGTACCTGCACCATGGCCTGACCAGTGAGAACAAGCCATCCCTGAGCTGGTTACGGGATGCCTACAGGGAATTTGATCGCAAGTGAGTAAAGGTGCAGCAAGCAAGGATGTTATGTGCTGTTCTGTAGCCTAATATAGAGGATCTTCCCCAGCTCCCCTGTGTAGCTTGGTGATCATAATTTACTGTCACTTATTCTCCTGCTTAAGGAGGTGGATTGTTGTTTAATACAGACTGAATCATAGGATAAACAGGTCCTTCTGTAAGTTACATCCTTTAAGCCAGCAGCCAAGAGCAAACCCAGGACCTGGTGCAAGTCTGTCAGCCCCATGATATAATTGTAGGTTCCTGCAGAGACTGCTCACTGGTTTTAGATGAATCTTGGAATACAGGGTAGCATGCCAGTAGGCTGCTGAGTGGCCTGACACTGCTATAGAGCATGGGAGAGCAGAGGCCATGGATGCTGGGGTGTGGTGAGGCTCAGTGCAAAAGGCATGAAGCAACCAGGGTGCCTTAATCTTGTTGAAAGGTTGGTTCCTCTGCTTAAAGTGCAGCTGGTCATTACTGGGCTTTTCTTGACAGGTATAAGAAGAACATCAAAGCCTTGTATATTGTGCACCCAACTATGTTCATCAAGACCCTCCTGATACTCTTCAAGCCTCTGATCAGGTAGGAAGGAAGTGCTATTGGCAGCTCACCTGCATGCGCACACTGCAGGGGAACAATGAGGCCTTCTCAGAGGTGCACAAGCTGAGCCCAGCCTGCCAGGCCTATCCTGGAGTCTCTCACCTTTTTCTGTCTCCTCCCATTTCTGAGCTCAGAAATACTCACAGACCAGAAATACCTCTTTAGGAACCTACAGAGCTTGCAGCTCTGTGCTACTCCTTTTCTCTCCAGTCAAGTAGAAGTAAAAAGTTGCAGGCTCTGCAACTCAAATATTTAATTTATTGTGATATTGAAATAATAACTCTGTGAAATAATTGAGAATAAGATCTTCTCAAGCCTACTGCTGAACATAGGAAGGAGAAATCCACCATTTGAGGGAGCCTGCTGCTGCTAGGGCTTCTAATGTATCTTGGAAAGTTTTTGCATCTTCTGGTAAAATAGATGGAGTGGGAGAGTGATGTGGGTGACATCTCTGCTGCTCAGCCATACCTACCCTTTGCCCCACTGATGTTTCTTGCAGCCCTCTGCTCTCCTTTTCTGTAAGAAGATAGTTCTGTTATTGGATTTCCCAATTCCTCACATATCTACTTTTCTCTTGTTTTTCAGCTTTAAATTTGGACGAAAGATTTTTTATGTGAATTACCTTAGTGAGCTGGAGGAGTATGTGAAGCTGGAGCAGTTGGGGATCCCAAGTCAAGTGCTAAAGTGAGAATAACTGTCTGTCTCCCCCTTGCTTAGGGGCTCTGTGAGAGAGGACCTTTTGTAAAGACTGGCAAGAGAAGGAAGCGATGGTTGCACTCAGGCAGTGGTTTTGCAGGATGTGCTGACAAGTTGCCTTCAAGACTGGTTTCTCTTTCTAGTCCTCCCTGTGTGTCCTTGGCCCCAGTCCCCAGTTCTGTCTTTGAGTTAAAAATCCTCCTGCAATGGAGCACCATTCCTGCATCTCCCACTCACCCCCTGGGGACTTTCTGCAAGATACTGACCTTAACACTTACCTGGAGCTCATGGTGTGCATTTGCTGTCATCTGAACACCTGCTTAGTTCATTCTGCACTGCTCAGCTTGTCTTTGAGGCTTCCCAAAATTGCCATAATATCAGTCCTACCAGATTGCTTCTCTGTCCCACACCCACATATGCATCTGTCTCATCACAAGCAGTGCTGTCCTGGCCTCCCGCCCACGCTGTTACTCAGCTACTCCAGCTCTTGATTACAGATAGATACTCCTTTTCTCCCTGCTTTTTTTTTCTGGCAACCAGATGTTTGTTCTTGTGCTCCAGAGCTGCCTGTGGTGGTTTTGCATATGTGTAATTGACTGTACCAGTCTGGTGCTGTTAGCAGTGGGTGTGCAGTGCTGGGTTCATGCACTTTCTGGAAGGTGGAGTGGCTTTCTACTACTCTGTGTTTTGCTGCAGGTATGATGAATACCTGAGATCCCTGCAGAAACCCTTGCAAGTGCCCCAGAAGCCAACACCCGCACGCCCACCACTGCCAAACCAGCAGTTTGGAGTCTCCCTGCAGCAGTGAGTATTTCTGGACTGTGTTGCTTTTGTCCTGACTTGCTTGATATGAGATCACTGTATTTACTACTGAACAACAGTAGAAAATGGCTGCGAAATTTCTTGCAGTTCAGACTTCCTACAAAACTTTAATCATTTTCCTGAGAAATTCTGTGCTCATGTCCAGATCCTGACTAACTCAGTTCAGTTCCAGCCTCTTGATCCCTGGGTTAGACTGTTTTTGCAACTTAGGGTCACTAAGGGAGGAGCAAAATAAGAGCCATGGGGACAGCTTTATGGCGCTAGAAACTTCCTTTTACGCAAAAGAAGAGGCTGTAAGAGGCTGGCTAACGGGTTCTCTTTAGGACTATGCAGCACGGGACTACTTCGAGCAGTGCTGCAGATTTGTTTCTTAGTTGTTTTCCAAATCATAAAATCTATTTTGAAAGCACCTCTATTCAGCCTTGTAGTGAATCCCACTCCTCATTCCTGCACAATGACAAAAGCAAACACAGACACTGGCAAGGCCTAGTGATACTGAGTAAGTGTTGAAGGTATTTTTAACTCTGAGTGTGGTTTTGCCTCCCTGGAGAATGAGGAGGAGCCAGTACTGTGTAGCTAGACACATCCTCTGAGGCAGTCTGGGAACACACTCCCCAGCTTCAGTGCAACATTTCCAGATAGTGTCTGCCCTGGTGCCATGGTGCCTGAGCTTGTTAGCAGCCTGGGAGGGGTAAACAGCTCCAAGCTATCGAGTGGTCTGGACAATCAAATGTGAGGGTGGCAGCAAGCACCTTGGTGTCATGAGGTTTTTCCCTGACACCCATTTTGATGATAAATCTGTCACAGGAATGTGGTGGCCAAACTTTTTTTTTCTCATGTGTCAGCTTCTTTCTGTCCTTGCTCCTATGGGGAAGAAAAAAGGAAGCGTAACCCTTTTCACCTGATTCATAACTAGCATCCTTGCCTTCTGGGAAGCCCTTGGCCCTGGCATATACAGGTTGAGATTTTTACAGAGGATGGAAAATGTTCCTGTGGTCTAGTAATGAGCTCATAGTTGCTCCAGTGAATGATGTAACATGATGGGTGAAGAAGATAGAAGACTGGAATAATGGCTGAACCAGTGATGGGCATAGCAAGATCATATGTATTACAGCTGGTGTGGGCAAATTCAAGAGTTGGAGGCTGCATGTAGGGCAGGACCAGTCCTGTGTACCAGTTGTGTGTAACCTGTTGTTTCTTGGTTCAGTCTCAGGGAGAAGAGCCCTGATCAGTCTCCTGTTCCTCTGGTGGTCAGAGACACCATTGCTCATTTGCAGGAGCATGGTAAGTGTTTGGGGAAGCTGCAGTCCCATATCAATGACCTCTGTTGTGTCCAAGGTCCCATCAAGACTGTGGTAAGATAAAGAACTGCAGTCTAAAATAGGGTGTAAAGCCCAAACTAGGTGAGTTAGCCTTCAAGTGACATTGTGGAGGGCATAGGAGAACTCTTTCTTTCTGGAGTCCGTGTTCCCACTTGTGTAAAAGTAGCCAAATGCCCCTTGTATCCTTTGTCTGATAGTGGAAGCAGAAAGAATTGTTGTACTTTAAAAAAGGGACTTGTTGATATCTGTCTGAATGCCCCATGGATTTATCCATAAAGCATGGATTTATAATTGTTAATGCCAGCATTTTTAGAGACTCTCACATGTCTGATTTTTTCCTTCTTCATCTGCTGTCACTTCATAGCTCTTAATACAGAGGGGATTTTCCGGAGATCAGCAAATACACAGGTTGTCAGAGAAGTCCAGCAAAAATACAATATGGGTAAGTGCCCAAACACATGAGAGCCCCTCTCATTTGCTAATTACTGGTGTGTAACTGCAACTGTGTAGGAACTAGTCCATCATGGATCCTTTCCTTCTTTGATAGGTCTGTAGGTGAGGCCTCATCTTGGGGTGTAACCTGAATTGCAAGGGAGAAGTATCTGATTCTTCTGCTGTGTGGAAAGCATATTCCTTCCCACTCATACTCCCTTTACTATCCTTTTTTTTCCTGAAAGTTTCCCTGTTTTTTGGGATGAAATATACCATCCTACTCTGGTTATACTGAAGGGACTTAAGAGGACTAGGATGAAACTTAGTCATCTTTGATTTGATGACTTCTAAAGATATAATGCTGGATTCAGTACTGCTTTGTATATGATTTTGGGACATATTTTTCCACTCTGCTAGAAGATGTAGTACTTCAGGATTCTGTCTATCAAAATACCTCTTCCTTAGTTTTGGGCTCTGACCATCATGTCCTGTCCTTTGGAGGGGACGCTGCTTTGGCTAGTGAGCACTGAGTCTCTGCTCTACTTTCTTAGGTGTGCCTGTAGATTTCCAGGAGTATGAAGATGTCCACCTACCTGCTGTGATTCTCAAGACCTTCTTGAGGGAGCTACCTGAGCCCCTCCTCACTTTTGGCCTCTACAGCCATGTTGTCAGCTTCCAGAGTGAGTTGTAACAAGTGCTACTCCCTGAATGTTGCACTGGCTAAGGGCCAAGATGTCTTAGTGAGACATACATGGGATACCTTGTGACTGCCAACAGCGCCTTCATCAGGATGGGTGCTGAGGATTGTCCTGTCTCTTGATTTTTAGGTGTGGAGGAGGTGAAACGTGTGGATGTTGTTCGCAAAACGCTCCAGGATTTGCCTGAAGAAAACTACCAAGTGCTCCGTTTACTGACAGCCTTTCTGGTGCAGGTGAGCGCTAGCCTAGTCATTTTCCTGTCATAATACTGAGAGGTGCAGACAGGCCTTCAGCCTAAAAAGTTCAGGCATACAACCTGTGTTGTCTATAACAGGGAAGCTGGAAGCTCCCCAGGGTAGAGGTAGAACTACAAAGTAGCTGAGTAGAAGATGGGTCTCAGATCTGCTTTACAGTATTTCCTGCTGCCAAGAAAGCCACTGCAAGGCCATTCAAGCAAGAGGGAAGATCATGAGTGGTGATCTGGACTTGCAGAGATACTATTTGACAGTGTTCTTGATTCTGTTGTTATCGTATGGCGTGGCCAGCTTTTCTCCGCTGATTTTCTCTGTGAGTCTGTCAGCTCTAGCTTAGAGGAGGCTAGAGGGCAGCTGCTTTGCTATTCTGTAGGATTCACAGTGGTCTCTTTCCTTCCCACTTAGGTCTCTGCTCACAGCGACAGAAACAAGATGACAAACACCAACCTGGCAGTTGTGTTTGGCCCAAATCTGCTCTGGGCCAAAGATGTGGCCATCACTCTAAAAGCCATCAACCCCATCAATACCTTTACCAAATTCCTGCTGGACCACCAGAAGGAGCTGTTTGAGGCTGCGGAGGCCTGAATCCAGGCCAGCCTACACCTGCACACTGTGCCCACCTTCCCCCTTCTTTGTCTTGGAGCTGTGACCAAGCTGTCTCCAGTACAAAGGGACCACTGATCATCTGGGTGATGAGCAGAGTGAGGGCTGTGGAGATGATGGTGAAAGTGTGCAAGTAAGTGAGCAGGAGACCTGCAGCTCTGGATGTGGAGGGGAGCTGGTTTCCCAGCTGCTGAAACTGGAGTCCTGACCCACCTGCGCAGCTCCTCCAGGGCTCATCACCAGTCTTCTGCCCTATCAGATGACCTGCCTTCCTTTCCTCCTTCCCTTATGTGCAGTTTTTCTGCCCTCCTGGTGTCTTCCTCAGCACAGATCTTTTTATTCAAGCTCCCAATAGCCCCAGCTTACCCCTCCTTGCCTCAGCTGGGCTGTTTGGGCTAGGGCGGGGTTGCTGAGTTTTGTGATGGAGACATTCTTACTGTGAGTGCCATTTCTCAGCCCTGAGCACGCATCCTGCCTTTCCCCAGGGGTGCCTAAAGCAGGGAAGGGAGCAGCAGCCCTTGTGCTTCAGGTAGCATCATGTCCTGCACTTGCAAACACCACTCTAGACCCCCTGCTTTTGGTAGGCAGGTGAAGGACAGGCTCATGGCAATGGGCTGTGTTACCTGTCAGACTCCAAAACAATGAAGGTGAGTTTAGCCCAAAGCCCAGCCCCTGTGGGGGTCACCCATTTCAGATACTAGTCAGTGTTTGCTGGACTGTAGTGAGTGACTTGCCTCCCGTAGTTATCCAGCTCAGGTGTGTTTGTCCCTCCAGCTGCACTTCCAGCCTGGCTGGGAAGGTTCATGCCAGGCCTGCCTGTGCGTTTGGGCCAGCTGTGGCCCTTTGACAGCTGGTGAGTCTGAATGGCAGGAGCAAGTGCCCTGGTGGCAGTGAGCTGCTGAACACCATGAGGATCACCATCTGTCCTGGCAGCAGTACAAGGCCTCCTCTTCTGGCACATGTATCTGTGCTAACTGGCACAGACCTCCTTGACTAGTTTGTTGTCTTTTTGAGCACAACTTTCCCCAACACAGTGTAACAGAGAGCATGGCCTTGAGGGAATGTCTAGGGACTGGGGCTAGCCCTCACCATGGAGTGCACCAGGCCTGGATTACAAATATCTGCCCAAATGCTGAGCACTTGTGCCAAAGCTGTGAGGGAACAGCTATTACATGCCAAGGGCCTTGCCGTGTCTCCTCCTGGGTTCACACTTTCCACCTTGATCAGATGCGTCCTGGATGCTTTGGGCACAGCTCGAGAGATCGTGTTCTCTGCAAGGCAGGCTCAGAGTGGGGTGGTCCCGGCACCTCCCTGGAGCAGCTGCGATACTGTTGTAGCATCTCTGTTGGTTTGGGTTGCCTCATTCCCATTACCTGAGCTAAAAGAGATCCTTCTCCTCAGCCTGGACCTGTCAGGGTTTTAGGAGGGAGCTTCTAGCCTTACTTCACTGGTGTGATTTATCTTTGTATCTTGTGCCCTGTGTGCCTGGGCCAGACCTCCCTGCTGCATCTGGCCTCAGGACAAATCTTTTGGACCAAGCAGAGCTGGTTTTTTAAAGCTACTGGATGCTAAAGAGAATTTGCTTTTTCATAACATTTTAGCCTGCCTTTAAACACTGACCAAGGGTCGGTGTCCCTAGTGTAGTCAAAGTAAGTGGCATCTGCTGCAGGAATTAAGGAGATTGCTCTTTTTGCTTACTTCTGGAATGGGGATGTGTGCAAACATAGGCTGTACTGCAAGGCAACGCAGGTCCAGCCAGCTGCTTTGGAGGAGGCACACCAACATGTGGGTGGGAACAGTGAACAAGAAAGTGAACATTTCTAAGGCTGGAGCAAGAGAGGTTCTAAGATGGGACTGGATCTGGTCCTTTCTAGATACCGGGGAGGCTTTGCCCTATGGAGGCTATCAGGCTGCTGACTTCTTCAAGTCTCCCTCTTCCAAGAGCAGGAGCCTTCCCTGTTTGGCCAGAATATGAATTGTTTCATCCTGAACAATTCACAGCAGTAACTAAGTAAATGTTTTGGAGGGAGAGATAGTCTGCTTCTAATTCATTTGGGATCTCTTCTAGAGTGAGTTAGCAGGGCTGATGTGCCGTGGAGGAGTAATCTGGGATGAACTACTGTGGAGAGAGGTGTACTTCCCCCAGTGTTTAAGGGGCAGGGCTGTGAAGGCTGAGGGAGCCCAGTGCAGCCCCTCTTTCCCTGCAGGCGTCCTGCTCTGTGGAGGCTTCAGTAGGGGGAGAAGGAGACTTTGCTCTGACTGTATCTGCAGCTGACACTGACTTCACCTTTATCTCTGTAGAGGAAAGGCAAGTCCAGTTAACTTCTGGGACAGATGCCTGAGCTTGGCAATCTGGAATCCAAGTGCCTGCGTGCATGAGGCCTGGCCCTATGCACTCTCTGGGGAAGGTGGCATGTTCTGGCCTTGCAGAGCAGCAAGGACTGTTCCCTGCCCAGTAGCCAGAGGAGCAGTGCTGGCGTAGCTCCTGTCCATGGGGAAAGTGGGGAATACTGCAAGTGTCTGAGTTCTGGCTGGAGTTTGGTGGGTTTTTTTAGGGATTTAGTTTGTTTTGTTTGGTTTTTTTTTTGGGTTTTTTTTTTTTTTTTTTTTTTTGTGAATCCTTGAAATTACATTTCCTTTTTTAGCAAAATAGAGGCTGATTCATCCCCTGCTGGCAGGGATAAAAGCCTGCTCCAGTTCAGTGCTTACAGGGAGCAGATTCAGAGTGTTCAGGGAACTACTACTGCTCATGCTGGGAAAATGCTTGCAAATCCTGGAAGGGACCCACTGTAAATAGCCCCTTTTCTCTGCTGCTTCTTGTGCTGGAGCTGCTGAGGACCCTGGAGCAGGCACAGTAACCAGGGTTGCTTTTGCAGTCTGTTCTCCTGAATGCCTTGTATTGAAATACTCCTCCTGTGGTCTGAGCAGAGAACTGGCCTGGGCCTTCCTGTAGCCTGTGTCAGGTGGGTGGTCACAAGAGCCTGCACCTGCCAAGGCCAGGGGTTTAAATTCCCTCCTCACATGGGCAGGGTGCTGCCTGGGCTGGGTTTCTCTGCCTTGTATAGGTTGGGGGTGGTATACAATTAAGGTGCTGGTCTGTGTTGGTTTTCTCCTTGCTATAGAGCTGTCCAAGGGTCTCTCTCCTGTCTTAGCCTTCAGGTTAGCTATTAGCCATTTCTTCCTGTTGGGGGTACTTGTTCTGCACCAACCTCCTCTTTTTAGCACCTAGAACATTCCCCTCTGCTAAGCCTCCTGCTGTCTTAATGGCCTCTGATCACTCCCTGTCCCAAGCTGTGAACTGACATCAGAGCTTCTGGCTGGTGCAGGAGGTCAGGGGCCATCCAGATGCCTTGTGTGCTGACATGAGAGAGCTGAGGGCCAGTTTGGTCCCAGTTTCCTTTTTTATGCACAGGGGCTCCTGTGCAAAAATTTCGGCTTTGCTTTTGTTGCTGCCGTTCCCTGCCTTCTTCTTTGTTGATGTTCATCAGGTGCAGGCCTGGGTTTTCACAGTTCACACAGTTTATTTTCTTTTAATCTGCACCAATCTTGTATTTCACAGTTTGCACTTTTTGTATTTCAATAAAAATCAAAATGTAATCTCAGATCCAGATATGTTTGTCACATGGCAGCAGCAGTGACACATCTACAAGAAACAAGTAAGGCTGTCTCTGCTGCCAACCACAACCATGCTGCAAGGAAGGAAAGAAAGTGTGAAATGCCTCCTATGTGAGTAACTGAATAAATATTAGTTTGCAGGAGCCTTGGGCTGGAAACAGAATTAAAACAAAAATGAAGCATAGATTTGGCTCTTCTGAAGAGGGCTGTTCTTCCCCATTACCATCTTCCTGTCATGATGAGCAGTCTGCCTAGGATTTCCAAGGGTGCCAAGCGGGAGCCACTTTAGGATTAGCTGGCAAAGTTTATCCTGGGGCCAGGTGATAACACTCAGCAGAAGCCTGCACCTTCTCATTTCAATGTATGTGGATTGGTAACTTGAACAGTAGTCTGGTTAGGACCACTGCACTCCTCTTGATCCATATTCAGTTCACTACTTTTTCCTAAAGACTGTGATTTGCCCGTTACATCAGTAAGCTGTTTTGGCTAGGATGCAAGAATTAGGAGTAGAATGGAGAGCACTGGGGCTAAAACCATCAGCATTGGGCAGTAGCCTGACTGCTGGGATGTCAGTGATGGTATGTCAGGGTGATGTGTTGATGCTGATGTCGACACTTGCATGTCTAAACTGTGTGCTGCTTGTCAGTTTTTACTATACCAGTTAAGGGCTTCCCAGTGTTGCCAGTTCCCCTTCTGCATGTTGACATGGCCCCTGTAATGGGGTCAGCATGGTTAACATGCCAACTATACAGTGAGATCTCAAACCTCCTCTCAGTGTAGCAGCTGGTCCTTGCTCTGGGCTTTGTCACAGTGACCTGCCTGGCATTGTGCTGTAGCAACATCAGCTCTGAGGAGCTGGAGAGCAGGTGCCTCTGTCCCTGACAGGGAGCTGGCACTGTCAGGACCTACATTATATGCAGCTGTGGGCAGTACTGAATGCAGTGTGAACACCATTGCAATTGGGCACGTTCTGCCCCCGACTTTATGGACACTGTTCTGCGAACATTTTTTATAAATACATAAAGTAGGCTCACAAGGTGATGGTATTTAATTGTTCATTATCTCATTATCTCGGTGGTTAATCATATTTCTATGATTGTTTTACTTTCTCACTTATTTCCTGACGGTTTTTCCAATCCCTTGTCTTCCTGGTGATATGGTGTAAATAGTGGATACTGAGAGCCCTGTAGTAAGCCCCAGATACTATAGGACGGTTTCTGTGAGTTTTGACACTGTACCGTGTCTTTTTTAAGTTCATGAAATGACACTTATAAATACACACATATACATACATATAATGTAGACAGATTGGTATCTGTTACATGCCAGCAGTATGCTCATTTTACTGTGTTACCTTCTGAAGATATGATTAAGAAAAGATTGCTTTTGTTACCCTTGTATCCCAAAGCTGGAATATTCCCTTCATAGAAGCTTCTAATACACAGAGTAATTTTTTTTCCCCCTTCCTGTCATTTTATCCACTGTGTCTTTTACAATAACCAGACACCCTTCACACCAAAGCTTATATCAGCAGTTGTTATTAGTACACAGATTGTTTTAATCTTGTCTTTCCTTTAAAGGGAAGGTGTTGGCACCATACCTTGCATTGTGTGTTATACAGGGTTAACTTTTAACGAGAATACAGCTGTTAAGTGTGGTTATTCTTTCCATATTTTATTAGTCTCTGCTATCTCTCCTGTCAACTGAAAACATTTCTATGCTTCTTTAAGTGTGCAGTAGCGACCATGTACAGTGCAAATTCTGTGGGTATATTTTTCCCCCTTTTCCCACTCCTTTCCTCTGGAGATTTCAGTTTTCCAATTCACTGGTGAGGTCAGCAGGGTCAAAAACACTGTATCCCTGTTCCTCCCACCTCCAGGCACCTGTTCTGTCTGTCCCTTGCTGTCCTTCCAGTAGGCTGATCTCAGTAAGATCCCACTGACCTCTCCAACTATAATGCACTAGTCCATTTTGCCCTCTCTGATGGAAGCAGCAACTTGCTCTGTTCTGCATTCACTGACAGGCCCCTGACCCTCCTGTTTCCTGGAGGAAAACAAGCATGAGCCTGGGACTGTCCCAGACCTGTTGGTACACAAAAAAATGCAGAGAGTGTTGCTTACACAAAAGTTTTATTGGAAATTCTTTGAATACTTGAAGTACACTGGAGACTTTCCAAAACAATACACTTGAGGAACCTTCCTGTCCACCCAAAGTATCTGTAAATCAGCAGCTACGTAGATAAGGTCCTTAATATTCAGCTGAGCAGAGAGCTGCTAAAACAAACAGCCTTCATAACACAATCTGTGGCAGGCCACAGCAGCAGCTAAGTCTTTACTGAAGCAGAGCATTTGTGCAGTGGTCAGGAAACTCAGAGCCTAAATGCAGCAACTGTGTTTTGAAACTGAGAACTGCCTAGAGAAGAGGCAGGTAACTCAGCCCTGGAGAATCTCTTATTGCTATGGCCATCCAGCTCAACACTAGCAGCTTATAGAGACAATTTTCTAGCCTTTTGAAGAGAAGAAAACACGCCACAGTGCCATTCTGCCTTATGAGATGTGAAAGCTGTAGCCATGTTAGGAACTCCATCAATAAAGGAGCACAAGTACAAGCCCTGACCTCCTGTGTGGGATTAACAAGAATGGCAGTGCTCCCTGCCAGCTCCACAGCTTGTCAGCAGAAGAGCACAGCAGGAGTGCTGGCTAGATGAAGTTTAACCTCAACTATTCTCTATTCATAGGGTGTGAACCAGCCCTTTGCCTCATCTCTGCTGCTCTGCAGCCCAGATTGTATCACTTTAGAGACTCAAGCTGACAACCAGCTCTCTATGAGCTACTGCCTACAAAGTGGCAAACCAGTTTCCTGAGCACAGGTGAGAGGCAGTTGATCCATTAATTCCTTGTGTTCCTGCACCCTTCTGCAACCCTTTCCACCTGTGAAACAAGGTGGCTCTTGGATGGGTATCAATAATTTGTTACAGCCCATGTAACTGAAGTCCTGTTATAAACTGGTTTATCTTGGAACTTTTCTTAAATATTTGTGTACCTTACTTTGCATGGACAAAGCAATTTCCATGTGAGGTTGCTAAGAAGTGGAATCAGTTGAGTAAAATAAAAAGGTTCTGATGGGTAATTTTCCTTCAATGAAGCTCTTACCTGGAGTTTTAGAACTTACAAGGCCTCCCACCAAACACATCTCAACAAAAATTCTCAAAGTTCAACGCATTGCATTGCTCTGGCCTTACAGTAAGCTCTGTTCTGAATTAGGCTCCTTGCTCCAGCAGTGGAACAGAAATAGTGTTCCAGAGTGGAGTTGGGGTTCCCCCATCAGCTGCAGGCAATCATCCAACAAAGAATACAGCTAAGCTGAAGCTGCCACATTACACCAACTAGAAGGTTGGTTACTCAGCCACTCTGAGGAAATGAAGATGGTTTCTCAGTACTCAAGCAACACAACTCCACTTAAAAGAAACAAGGAGGAAAATAAGTGGATTTGGACAGTAAAGGGTCTTGCAGTTGCTCACTAGTTACATGGGGCAGGAGGAGACAGAACCACAAGAAAACCCACCTTTTCCAAGTTTCTGTTTAGTGTCACTGTTTCTCCTCCCATCCTTATATGAGGCAGAACGTGCAACAGCCAAGTCACCCATAGAGCAATGCCAGCCAGTCACACTGTCAATGGCTGGATTATTACAAAAATAATATTTCAGCTACTAAAAAGCCAGCTGATTAAAAAGTACCATAAGCTTCCCAAAATAAGTGTGCTTCTTTAAAGAAGCTGCCTTCTGAATGGCCAAAGAACACTACAGATTCATCCATGCCTATCAGAAAAACAGCTTTCTACCAAGTCCCTGCCCCGTGCATTTCATTCTATCAGTGAGCCTTGACTGGATGCAATGGACACGTAGTCCCCAAAACAGAGTATAATATTAATCAAGTCTGCCTTAGAAAATAAATATCTTGGATACTTTCCTGGAAAGAGAGACTAGCCTCACTGGCTAGGGTTCATGGCACACTTGCTCTCTGCAGCAATCAGGACAGAATGACCCGCACTATAACATGAAAACAGAACATCTTTTAAATATAGGTTTCTTTAAAAGCAATAAATATTTTTTAATTATTAAGATAATCTATTAACCATAAAGCAGGAAGGCTTGCAAGGAGTAGAGGAAAAATCTTAGACGAAGACTCCTAGTTACGTAACCCCAAAGAAATAGGATTCCTAGTATTTACAATTATGTTTCAGAAGCAGAGACTATGAATTGAGCATCATCACAGCTGCTACGTGCAGGCTTGCCAACAGTCAACACTGTTAAACTCAGCATGGCCAAGTGTCAGTGCACTCAGGAAGGAAATGTGGAAAGCATTCCTGTAGTTTCATTCCTGCTTATCAGCCACCTAACAGAGGGCATTGCAGTGTGTAGAGACCCAATTCTTTAGAAGCAAGAAAACAAAGGTAACTTGGATTATGAAGGTCCCAAAGCTGATGTCTCTCCCTGTGCTCCAAGCACGCACTCTGAAGTCAGGATGAAATGCCCAGTTCTGTGGAATGGATGTCCTGGACTTCAAACAGTTGAATTTGCTGAACTCACAGACCCTGGAAATCAGCCAAAGCTTTCTGTGCTCTAACAGGATCAGAGACTGCAGGAAGAAGTTTGTTAGCAAGAAGCTCTACCTCGGGAACTTGCACCATAGGACCCTTGGAGGAAGCATATGGCAACTTTCCACAAAGCCCCTCCATACAGAACACAGACTGAAGAGAAAGTTCCCATACACTGGAGTTTGACTTCCTGTATCCCTACTGAAGTCTTAAAACGGACTGTGAGCAGGAAAAGCAGTCCAGAACTATGTGGTGGAAAAGTTGAGGAGAAATCAGCAGATGAGCTGTATCTGTCATTGAAGAGAGAAAAGAAAGCTCACTTGATGGAAGGAACTAGTCAATATGAACAAAAGGCAGAGCAGGGGCGATAAGAGATATTTGTTGATGTCATCTCCAGCACGGCTTGAGGAGGAAGAATTGCTGCAGCAGAACTGGGAAACAGCTTCACTGCAAGGTTTCCACAAAAGCATCAAATTCTTTGACGTTTTTCTCATGGACTGCCAGCTTCTCTGGTAATGAGTCCTGGAAGGCAAGGAAAGATGCAGATCAGGGCTCATTCACAGCAGACAGAAGGAAATTTTAAACACACTAGGAAAAACAAAATCTGTTTCTGAGTCATGCAATCCTTCACCAATGCTCTAAGCTCACCTTTCTATGTGCACAAAAGCAGGAACCCTCTATCAGCATCCAGCAAGTGACCCTGAGCAGGGCACTCTGCCCAGAGTCTGTTTGTTCTGCCAGAACAGGAGGTGCACTGGGGCCTCACCTTGTGCAATCTCCACCAGCTGCAGCACAATAACCTGCTCACATCACTGCTTTCATCAAGTCACTTGCTGCTCTCTGGTTTTCATTTTTCTCCACAGTATGGCACAATGCCAGAGAGCCTAATAGAGCACTCACCTAGCTGTGACTCACCAGCCACACCAGAACTCCCAACTTTGCTCAGGCTGCCAAGTCAGGCCTGGTTTGCCACCAAGTGAGACACCCCAGAGGCAGGATTAGTTTGGGGGGTTTCAGAGCAAGCATGCTGCAGCAGCCTTCAGCTTCAAGACAAGCACACCAGTTTCAGAGGCTCAGGTGTGCCAGAAACAAATCTGCATTTATTTGGAATATATTAGTGATGGACAACCTTTGGGCAGGGTCTATCTTCTGAAAAGTACAGGAAAGACATGGTGCCTGTCAGAGTGGGTCCAGAGGAGGGCCACAAAAATTATCAGAGGGCACCTCGGGGAGCACCTCTCCTGTTAAGACAGGCTGAGAGACTTGGGGTGATTCAGCCTGAAGATGAGAATGGTCTAAGGAGATCTTATTTTGGCTTTTCAGTACTAAAAGGAAACCCTTGAGAAAAATGGGAACAGACATTTTAGCAGGAGCTGTTGTGACAGGACAAGGGACAATGGTTTTAAATTGAAAGAGAGTAGATTCACACTAGGTAAGAGAGAAATTTTTAATGAAGCTGGTGAAAAATTATAACAGGCTGCCCAGAGAGGTGGTGGATGCCGCATCCATGGAAATAATCAAGGCTAGAATTGGGTTGAGCAACCTCATTTAGTTGAAGATATCCCTGCTCACTGCAGAGGAGCTGGACTAGATGACCTTGAAAGGTTCCTTCCAACCCAAAATATTCTACAATTCTATGAAGACACCTTTTTCAAACTAGGAATAGGGAGTATAAAGTACATATGATTTCCACAAACAGAAATTTCAGGATTCCATACCAAATCCTCTGCCATGGACTGTGCTCCAATGTCAATGGAGAGGCTGCTGAGTTGAGGGGGGTTCTGAAATTCACGGTAAAATGTCCCCAGGTCCATTGGAAGAATGTCATCTTTTGAAAATGCTGGTTTCTACAATCAAAGATACTGTTGTTAATTCCCAGAGACATTGGCTTCCCTTTTGTTGTAATCTCAGATAAAGGCGTTACCTGATGTCAGTAAACATCTTGGCATTAAAACTGTTGCTGCAATAATGCATATTAAATAACTGAAGAACAGCCAATATCACTTGATATCACAATAGAACTTGAACAGTTGGAAGAGAACATGTCTTTGGAATCCGGCTCCTCTAGGTGTTAAGAGAGAGGATGCCAAGCCAGATGTTAGTAGAGAACTGAAATGGTATCTAATTTGTAGCTGTGGATTCCTAGTACCAGTGTCTTTGCAGTTCTGTCACACCCTAGAGTGTGGTACTGTGAATGATGTGGCTTTTCCACTCCCACTGAAAAGTACTCTGACATCATTTGCCATCACACCAGTACATGAAGCCCACCTAAGGTGCAGGTGTAAGAGCTGTGATGAGGGCACTTACAAAGTCGATCATAACAAAGTCATCATGGGTGTTCCCTGTGCTGCTGCCACTGGAGCCCTCTGAGTGTAAGCTGCCTTGTAGAGGAGATTCCGTTTCTGGGGATTCAGGAGGATTGACCTGCCCAAGAAATCAAAGGCGGTGAGTACTGATCTTACAGTCATGTCTGTCTGTGTGCTTTGGCAGCATGGGGGCAGTTAGGAGGTTAGACAATTAACATAAACTAGAGCAGGGGCAGCAAACACAAGCTGTTATTTGCATGTCTAGAGAGCCCAAGATTCAACACAGGAGACTTCTTGAAACCAAACAAATCTGAATAACTAGTTATTTTCTCCAAAACCAAAGTGTAGTCAAGGCAGAGAATAGCATGGATGGTCGCTTAAGGGATGCTGAGAAGGCACATATACCTCTGGAAGAGTCTTACCATGGGGTCGTTATCTTCCAGCTCAACATTCTTGGGAGCAAACATGGCAAAAGGAATGTCTAAGTTGGCCATGGTCACCTGAGGAGATTTAGCAAACAGAATTTCACTAAGATGCTCCGCTTACCCGGCACAGAAAAGGATATTGAACATCTTTATAAGGCCAACTAAAAACGGCCCAATATCACGTCAGCAGTTAGGCAGGAGGCTGGCAACCTCTTTTAAAAGGCAGGAAATCCAGAGACGATACTCAGCTGGCCTAATGCAGACACATACCTTGAGGTGAGATTGCTTCTACACATAGCTTGTATAATATAGGTAAGGATTAATGAACTGCTACAAATTGAAACAATTCTCATTCCTTCATCCAAAAGGCCTAGAACTGCAGCCCTAGGAACCAAGCAGATCTCTAAACTGCCCTAGCTGAACTTAAATGCTTGCTTCTAGTGATGAACTGGTCTACTGCATGTTCCTTCAAGGAAGGGAGGCTTGCTACCAGGTTTCATAATTTATGGACCTGTGTAGTGGCAGATCCAAGTGAGTATCGAGTCTTGTGAGATCCAAGTGGACTATCAAGTCTTCTATTCTCAAATAGGGTGTTGGCAAAGTGGAGTAAAGTCAATGGCTGTCACATCCAACAGGATTTTATGAAAAACAAAATACACCTTGGCAAAACCATGTAGAGAAATGCACAGGCAGAAATATACACTCACAGCCTCTGAGGCTGCCCTGGCATTGGAGTGCTTTTTGCTCCTCTATGTTTGAACAGATGGGAAAAGAAAGGTATTATGGTGCTCTCTGTGAAGATCTACTGCTTGTTACCTGGTTAATGGGTTTGTTGACAAAAGCTCCCACCTTCCGGATAAAGATGGTCTCCAAAAGGTCATGTGGGGAGCCACATTTTCCTTCACTGCTGTTGGATACTGTTTCTGTGTCCTCACTGGGGGAGGAAAATATATAATTAGTGCCTCCTGACACAAACAGGGTAGATAAATAACGTTTTCTATGACTCCTTCATTTTTCTTGGTTTACTCCTAGTCTTGGAAGAAGGACAATAGAAATCTGTCCTTGTACCATACCTCCCTCCTCAGTCAGGAGCACAAAAGGAAAGTGGACACTTGTGGAATCAGATTTTTGTTTAAAGCTGCACAAAAAACTATTTCATTAAATATAAAGTTGCTGAAATAGGCTTTTCTTCAGGGAAATGGGCATTTAACTTGTGTGTGTTCACAGCAATTCCTGTCCATCACTACTATTTTTTCAGTAACACAGTATTCACAGATCTCTCCGGAGGTGAGAGATCTTCCATTATATCTGTCACTCAATTCACAAATGCAGCAGATCTGGTACATGACAACAGCCACTCCCAGTATGATTAATTCACTCCATGGCTATTAGGTACTTCCATGACCTATTTGTTTTTGTTTTTTCCCTACCACAGGAATTCAGAACTTCAAAACAAAAAAAATAGTTTTGTCTCATAGAAAGAGGATTAGCTAGAAAGGATTGAAGGGGATTACCATTCAAGTATACCCGGGAAAGTGATAGTCAACTGCGTTTTGGTTTCCCCAGGGCAAAATCTCTGTGACTCACAACTATGTGACCCCAAGAGAGATTTCTCAAGAAATACATATGGTGATCAAAAAACCAGAAGGATTTAATCAGCTGTGAGGGAGTTGATTTAGGACAGTTTGAGGTTGCATTGTTTCCTTTTAAATAACTTTATGCCTAAAGTTTCTTACTTAAATGGTGAACAGATTTATGGTAACTACAACTAGCTTTGGTAACAATGCATATTAAGTCTCTAGAGAATTTAAGACTCATTTTTTAACTTACTTGTTTTACAATCAGGAAAACCAGCAGAAAGATTGAAAAAAAATATAAAATTGATAATAAAGTTGACATAGAAGAAGATATATTACATAGAAGAAGGACATTATATAGATTAGGAGGTTTAAATATATGGGCAAGATCATTGTTTGCAGAAAGGCTGAAAAAGCCCCAATCAGAGAAATCTGCAAGTTGATTTGAGGGATGAAAAGACGATAGTTATGCTACCAAACAATACATAAAAAAGGAAAACAAAAAGTTTTATCTTAATAGGCTTATAAGTGGGTTAGGAGAAGTGGTGGATCGTCTAAAAATGACCTACCTGCTAGAAGGAGTAGCTGCTGAGTAATGGACTCCATCCAGTGGGGTGCACATCCTCTCTTGGTCAGCTTGAGTGCCATGTGCTGGCTGGTTAGGAACTGGGGGAACTCCCCCTTCTTTGCCTGGACCAATTAACTGATATAGAAAGGAACAGTCAAGTTAAAAAATCTCAAAATCAAACCAAAATCACAGTGCAATACAAAGTAGATTCCATCTTACTAGCCATAAGTTGTGGGGCTGTTGGCATATGACAGGGCCCTATAAGCTATAGCCCCTATAAGCCTCAGAAAGATGTCATGTAGCTGTGTATTATCACAATACAAACTCACCTTTTACTCTCGTTCTAGTCTACTCTCCACTTCAGGCCTATTTTACACTGCAGAGTTCTCTGGCTGTAAGTCCCCAGCTTCATGGGGAAGAATGGAGGGAAAAAAAAACTTACATCCTCTTGCTACAACCCCATGGTTCCCTACAGCTTCAAGAGAAGGGGAAAGTGGAGACTGAGGTGCTGATTTCTTCCTGGGATCCAGTGATAGAATGCATGGGAGTGGTTTGAAGCTGTACCAGGGGAGGCTTAGACTGGACATTAGAAAGCATTCATTTGGAGAGAGGATGGTAAAAAACTGGAACAGTTCTCTTCCTAGGGAGGCAGGCAGTGCCCCAAGCTGTCAGTTTTTAAGAGGCATTTGGACAATTGCTGTAATATCAAGCTTTACTTGGCCAGCCCTGAACTGGATGTTGGATTAGATGCTCACTGTAAAACCATTCCAACTGAAATGATTTTATTTTAGTAACGTTGTGTCAGCAAAACTGGTGAAATACCAATATCTCAAGCAGAAAAAGACTTCTGTCAACTTGGCTTATTTGTCAGATGAACCAATATAACTATGTCAATATGAACTGCCAGTGTATCCCATGTCTAGGATACTACATCCTAGCTTACAGAACTGTGCTTGGACAGCTACAGGGGCAGCAGCTCTGTAAGACAGGAAATGTTTGGAATCAGTGACAAGCTCGTGCAGGCAAACAGGTCTGGTGCCTGCTCTCTTGGCATAGTTTTTCCACATGATGCTGTACCCCAGTAAATTCAGGGATGCTGAGGAGCCAGTTCCCAACTCCTGTGGAAGTTGTGCTTCTCTGTATTTACATTCTTTCCATTCCTGACAGACAGGACACCAATGCATGCACTAGTTTCAATGCCTCTCTCAGGTGTACAAATGACAAAAATGGCTGCAATACCAGCCACACTGGTTCTACTCTCTACAAGTACCTGGTGAGGGTGTGCAGCATTCAAGCCACCAGCAAAGAGTACAGGATACCCCATGTCAGCTGATCCAACTCCCAGGGCAGCAGGCTGATAGGAAAGACGAGAGCTGGAAAGCTAAGAAAGAAGAGAAAAAACAAGGGCAAAGGGAGAGGAGAGAGGAAAGGGAAGGGGAATGTCCCACAGCCTGAATAATCACCAGTCACTGAAGAAGGAACAGGAAAAGTCAGAGGCACAGCATTTCAGGCTGGCAGAAGGATGCTAGATTTTCAATGGAATCAATAATGTAGGTTATTGTTCTAAAAAGTTCTTATTGCTATGAGGACTACTTGACAGTAGTCCAGGGGACTAAGTCTGAGCCTTGACAGGAAAACAAGATTGGCTTCCTACACATGTAGGAGGAGGCTGTGCAAGGTATGGCTGACATCCAGTCTCAGGGAAGCTCTGCTCTGCAGGCCTACTTCAAATACTGGTGTAGTGGGTTACGTGAATGCCATTGTAAACTTACTAAAGAGTTAATATTTAATAGTTTTTTTATCCCAAAACAACTTCATTATCAACTGTTTGAACCTACTTCCACTGCAAATTAAAACATCTCATCTTCCTGACCTGTTCAAATAGCTTCAGTAAAAGAATAAATGGTCCCATAAATGTGCCAGGTAAAGAGAACTGAGAAGCTAACCCTTGTAAGATTGCTTTAGGAATTAAGTCTTGGAAGAAGTGAAACCTGGGAGAAACTCCTTATACATCCCAGGCAGAAATCTACCCAGTCAGGTTAGATAAAACTTTCCTGTTTTGACTTGCCTCACCTAAAAAGGAATATTTCTTCCAGAGCTCAGTGTGAGCTCCAGCTGGTGTCCTTTACAGGGATTAAAATGAGGAACAGCAGTTTGATTCACATGAGGCTAGCTGGGCTAAGTGGTGCTCTAATGACTATACAGGTTCTAGGGACATGGGCTGTTAACAGAAAACACTCAGAATTGTGCCTTACTACTTGTGTCTTTCACTAACAATCCTTGACAGCTGTTGTATTTTTAGGGGTGCTTGTTCTGTCTTTGGGAGACCTTCATCTGCAAAGGCATTAAAGAAGCCAGTCTCAGTAAAGTGTCTGGCTCATTGTGGGTTCAACAGTCTTTCCCATGCACAACAAACACTCCACATTGTCAAATTTTTATTTTCCTGTATTAGTTTTGTCACGGCAGAACTTGTATTCTGGCCATGTACAGCATATTCTATTGACAACTCACTTGATGTGAAAAGGCCAGCCCCATCACTGGGACCTTCAAGGTGTCCGTCACCATAGGAGGAGAGGTCTGAAAATGTGCCTTTGTGACAGTAAAAACACACTGTACACAGACACAGACAAACAGAGGAAACAAGGAAAAGAGAGAATGAGGGGAGAGAGAGAAAGAGAGAGAGAAGGACTTCAGAGAGGAATTATGAAGAGTTGGATGAACTGAATGCTAGTGAAGAGGTTTTGGCTGCAGCAGCCACACCTACACAGAGAGCAGAAGTCTCAGTATTGCCAGAAGCACATTCATTTTGTAAAGAAGTGACTGGTTTTGAATCTGAGTGAACCACTGAACACAGGCAGTATTTGAGACTCCAGTAAACCCTGACAGAAAGTAACTGCCAGAGACTCTGTTCCACAGTTAATTATAATTGGTACCAGCAAATTAGCAAAAAAGCTGAGCAGATGCCAGAATAAGTCAAGTACTTCTTCTTTTTTTAATTTACAAATGACTTGTATTTCAGCACTCTCCATCCATCCATACTCCTTATCCTCCAGCTTTCTGAGGGATCCTATCTTGGCAGGTCTGTGCTGCACTCTTAGAATAAAGGGGACCCAGACTACAGTGCAATTCAAACACACTGATGTGAAGCAGGAGCTCTATCAACAGAAACAAAACTCCAGAAGTACACAGTCTCACAGAGGGTGCTAATGCAAAAAGGGCAATCCAAACCTGGTTCAGTCCCATACCTCCTCTCACAGCCATTTTCCTAGCAATGGGAAATTTCAGTTTGAGAAAAGGCTTCAGCTTCATTTCTGGGTATTACTCATGGCCAGACTCTCCTGAATTTTGGGCTGCTTCACAACACACATACACAGACATGCAAGCTCACAAAGAAGGTGACAACTATTTCCTTGTATCACACAGGTTAGGCCTCATTTTTGCTGAGAAGGCAGGTAGAGATTCATACAATTTGTCTACAAAAATCAGACAGTTTCTAGTATTTTCCTAGTCATTAACCTGGACAGGACATGTAGAAAGCTGGAGAAAAAAATTAACTTCTTCTTTTCCTTTTAATTTAAAGTTCACTCTGCCAAGGCAGCTTTACAATTCTAACTGAGGTAACAAAGACTGGCAGTTGCTTTACAAATAAGGGCACAGGATATGGCAACTATGAGCCACAGAAAAAGCAAGAATGTATGCTCATACTTAATGTGAATCCTCAGGGTTCAAGTGGTTTCATAAAGCTTTTCCCCGCTCAGTGACAGTAAAGCTTCATGACCCCTGGAGAAACATCAACTTCCATGTAGTTAAATACACTACTACTGTTAAGTAACACTGGCACAAGCAAGTCAGTGGAAATTTCCTTATGAAATCTTTTGTATTTACCCCACTTTAGGAAAACAGAGGACACAACTCAGTCACAAACTCATTTCCTGAACTGTGTATTGCAGAATAAGGAAAGCTTTATTCCATCAGACTTACCATGAGTGCTGGCTAATTAGTTCAACATTGCCTGATGCCTGGTCACCTGAAATCACTTTGGCACAAAGATGCTTCCTGAGAGAAACTCATTTCTAGCTCGTTCATATAGCAGAATACATTCTGCTAAACCAGGCATATTAATTCCTCTGAAGCAGCATAGCAAATTCTTTCAGTTTGGAACAGCATTCCAGTTATATTTCATTCTATGTTTCACATTGACAGTGAAAGATTTAGAGTCTTTAGATTGTCTTTAAAGGTCAGTAGAGCCATCTGCTTGGCTGGACAACAAGGCTAAATATTTAAAGCAATAGGACAACTGCAACTCTGGCTGTCCTCAAAATACAGAACTGTGGAGTCAGATATGTAAAATAGTAAAAGAACTTGGGAGTTCCTGGGGTTTTATACTCAAAATGAAACCATTAGCTATTTATTTTAAAAGTGAAACTTAAATGAAATTTGCATGAGCAATTTTTTGCCAATACTTATTCTTGCTGCACCAACTAATTTTAGATGGTGCAATAAATAGAGAAAGACATTAAAAAGACAAAAGCTCTAGCATTTTCCTGGTATTTCAGTGTTTCTTTCTCAGTCTGTTACTCCTACTTAAGCTGCCTGGCATCAATGTCGTGAATTCCTCCTCTTGCAGTATTGGTATGCAAATGTGTAAAGGTGTAAGTACACTCCTGTCCTCTTCAAGCACACCTCAGCCCAGCTACAGGAATAGGCTCTTTTAATCCTTCTCAGTAATTCAGTCTTTCTGGGTCCCTGGAATTTTGTTGAAATTAGTATCTAATTTCAATAGATTTTACTCAAGAATGTAATTACATAAATAAACCCACACAATAAATTTTAATTAGCAGCAGAACGATTTCTGTTTGCACAACAGCTGATGTAGGAATATGCAAACTATTCTTACAGCAATTGTCCTATCTAGTAGTAAAAAGAGCCTGGTTTCTCTTACCTGAGATGGAGGAGAGGTGGAAAAAGATGTGGTACACACTTCCTGGGAATCTTCTACTGAGGGGTATACTGCACCATTGTCCTCACCAGCTCTAAAGCAGCAAGAAAAGACAAGTTTTCTAACTGGAAATATTCCTTAAAACAAACAAATAGTAAAACACAGTGGGACAAACACTGCAGGGAGGTTGAGAGTATTTGGGTGTAGTTGAAAGGAGAATTATGAAGGGCTCTCATCTGCTTGCCAGATCTGAGGAAAAACATCCGTTTTCCTCAGGTCTTTGTCTTCTACTCCATGTAAAATAACAGGTGTTTCTAACTAAAGCTTTTGTTATACCAGCTAGTGCTGCTGGCTTTGGTGTTTACACAACCATTGTCAAACATCACTGGTCCAAACTTGAATGCCCTCACATTCATTTTAGAGAGGACAAACCTCTCATCTCCAAAAAGAAATTAAACTGATCTTCCCCAGTGGAAATATCCAGGGATGCATGCATCTAGACATGTAGTTCTGCATCAGGAACTATTACACTTTCAAATTCCTGAAGGCAGCCAAGATTAAACATCCTTTGTGTCCAAGTGCTTCTGTGAAGAATTTGGGAAAATACTGGGGCATGCTGCACTCAGCCATCTCAATGCGAGGAGAAAAATGTCACCTTTCATCACATGTTTAACTATGCCAATATGACTGACACTAATTCTCCAGTGTCCCTTCCCATGCTGTCAACAAATAGTGGAAAAGGCTCTGTATTTGGGCGTAATGGATGCCTTTACCATGGCCCATGACTTCAACTCAGTATTTCCTCACCTGTAATTGCAGGGATGCATGGGTGAAGAGCTGGGATAGGGACGGTCCACAAAGTGATCAATTATAATCCCCATGATAGGAGGGGTCCTCTCAAACTGCCTGCAAGGCAACAAGCAATGGTGTTACTGGCTTTTTCTCTCTACTCTTCCCAGTTCATGGTGCCCTCACAGAAAACCCTTATGTCTATTAATGGGACCAGAGCATCTTTACAATTTAGTCCTGTGACTCCAGGCATGCATCAGCAATTTGGAGTTCTAGAGCCTGGCTTAGGGCTACCCAAATACTCCCCTTGCTGCAAGGTTTAAGCGAGAGAGAGAGCATTCTTCATGAAAGAGAATCTCAGCAGGAAAGGATAAGCAGAAGGGAAAGATCTGGGGGCTCAGAACACAAGGGGTTTAACAGTAAATTAACTGTAAAACAGTTTCTGGCATAATCACATTTTCTCACCTGGTTGACATGAAAGCAAGGTTGATTCTGTAGGCACAAGACAAAGTGATGGTGCCCACTGGGGTACCCACTGTCCCAACACGGACTGTCTGGAAACCTGTCAAGTTAAGCAATGATTATCAGTTTCACTGATTATTTATGTGCCATACTTTTTTATTCTGAGGTTACATTATCTTATTTCAGTAGTGTTACCATTATCTCTTGCAATCTGAACCCCAAAAACACACATAGAACCCATAACAAAACAGCAGCACTAGGTTGCCTTGCTGGTAGGCTTCACTTGCAAGACTTCTGAGGTTGCTTCCTGGCTTCTTGATGTAAAATACTGTTTTGAAGTGCTTTTTGTTCCTCAGTAGATTATGATCTCCTTTACCAGTCCTGACCCTTATCAACATAATTCCATATTCTTATTTTAGTTCTGTATCGCTAGAGTCAAACTGGCAGTCACCCGAGACTTTGTCCAAGTACCACCATTATACTTGTCACCTTATGACACAAGGCTGCACTGGCAGAGCCAGACAAAAAGCATATGTCAGCCTCAGACTAATTTTCCTTATGATACTTGTGAATAGTAACCAAAAGGCAGTCAGAATGAAACAGTTCTGCTCTTGTTTGTGTGTTGTCTAATCATACCTTCTCCCAAGCCACTCAGCTGGACTTCACCAAAATATATCCTGAAAGAAAAGGAAAAAGAAAAGCTGTTAGATCCAGCTGGGACAAAATGCTATACATATCCTTATTCCTTACTTAATTTTGGGAGTTGCACGGCTGGAACTATGTTTCCTCTTCAGAAAAGAAAAAGCCCAAAATAAATGGCTGTAATGCCCATCTCAAAAAACCTTACAGCTGCTCCAGAAGAACAGGTCATGTAAAAAGAAGAAGAAAGAGAAAATGGTAGTCCAATAAGAAATTTCTCTTTTTTTAAGCCTCTGTGGTTAAGTCTACAGTTCAGAGCAAAAATGTCAAGTGATACAAATGTCACAGATAGGTCTGCGTCTAAAAGCTGATGCTCATCACACAACATAAAAGATTAACCGTGCTGTAAAGAGACCTGCTCTTAAGTACATGCCAAGTCAGCAATGGAGGCAAAAATGTGAAAATGGCTGGAATTTCTTTTTGAGTTCTCAGCTGTGAAAATGACAACAAACCTGAAACTTACAATCTTATAAATTAGCTATGCAAACATGTCAAAGACTTTTCTTACAGCCAAAAACAGAGTCTGGAAGATAATTATGAACTACAAGCCAGTCAGACTCACAGGCTAAACCGAGTTGAACCCAGTAGAGGTATGAGTAAACTGCAAAAGCTACAGGATGTGGAATTGAAAATGCATCTTTAAAATGGAGTAACAGAACAGAGTCTGAATCTATGCTGCAAAAGTACACATTGCAGTTATGTGCAATGTAGACAGGCATTTATCAAACACAAGCCAGATACCAAACAACTGAATGCTAGTAAGCAACGGCATGTAGAATTTTTTTTCTCTTCTTAGCATCGTAGGCAAACACTTCACAGCCTGTGCTTAGCTTTTCTTTCAATGGCTCAAGTAAAGGGTATAAGGTGATACATAGACCAAAGTTTTCTTCTGTCACTGATCAGTAGTACTTCTGTACAAATAATTTGATTTTATTATTACTCATCCCTTTTAAACTACATTTGCAGCTACACTGTGCAAGTCTAGAGTCTCTCCTGTTTGCATTTCAAGTAGGAAATTTTTGCTTTACCTGTACAATATTACATATTCATGGCCTTGTTTCCTAGAGAGTCTGTAGGCTGGAGTTACTCTGGTTATAGCAAGCAAAGACTTCAGCAGTAGAGACAGCCTGTTGTATACAGTGTATGAAACTTTGATTTCTTTGTCACACCTAGAGAACACAAAAGAAAAAAATTAGTCTTTTGTTTACAACTAAGTTGCCTGGGTTTGGGGTTCTTGTTTGTTTTGGTTTGCAGTTGCTTTTGTTTATTTTATTTAAAATAAAAATTACTCTGGGCCAGTTGTTTAATTTTATTGCCAAAATGATAAATAAAGCCCCAGTGTAGCTACCTGTACTGACCAACCAGCTAAGAGTCCTGATTCAACCTAGTCACCTGCTGTAGAAGAAATTGCTGAAAAATGCCATGCAGCCTTCTACTAAAGAGACATCTTTTCGATATGAAAAACATTTGTCATTACTGAGACTATGAATTCTTGTATCTGAGGAAATCTACTAGTTGTAATGGAAGAATGAAGACGGAATTAAATTACTAGTTTATGTTCTTGACATTGGTGTTAAAACAGATTGTCTGCTGCTCCAGACAAAGAGGGGAGTTCCCTCTGAAGTGCTCCTGGCCACACAGCCAGTATGTGCTCATTGATCACATGGATTAACCACATGTACCAAATGCCTCAGCTATGAGCTATAAAGAATGTACTTACTTCTCATTCATTTCTAGACACCAAATTTCCAGCTCCATGGAGTCCCCCTATATCAGAGAAAAGATGGCAAACAAAGGATCATTTCAGAATATAGACCTTTTCAAATCTCATTAGTGATCAGCAATGGCCACACCTCTCAATGATTTGACTCCTGGTTCCCACTTTCTTGTGATGCAATGATAGAAAAAGGGGCACTGGAAGTGTCCCTGCACAATTATATCACCTGAGGGAATACCTTCCTCAGAATACCTAAGTTCTTCATAGAGTAAGAAATTAGTTTCTTAAAATTTAAGAATTTAATTTTCTTCAAATTGGCTTCTTAAAAAATTTACATTTTTCTGCTGTGTCATTTGTGTGTTCAGCCTCAGATTTTTGCAGTGAATTGCTTGTGTTAAACAATACATTTCTTTTAATTAGCATATCACCTAACTTAATAAAATTTAGATAGCCTCACATTGTCTTGGATTAAAGGGCAGGAGCTCTGGTAGTTGACTTAAGATTCAGGCCAAAACCCCCACAAATAAAATACAGGGCATCTGTTTTGATTCAGTTCTCACCTCTGAGGTTTTGAGAGAAATCTCCACGCACATAGACCGTCCAACAGCAGGCAGCTGTCCTGCCAGGGCCTTCTTTGCTTCATGAGTAACCTCTGGTATATCTTTGATTGCTAAATTGAACTGCAGAATCAAAGAGATGGTTCCATTTTTTTATTTCTTTGAAAAACTGCCTGATGGCACATTTCAGACAGGATCACAGACCCATATATAACATACTAGGTCAGTGTCCACTGAAATATTTATGAAACAGAAAATTCCCAGCTGGGTTCAAGCTTTTCATATTTACAAAGATTCCCTTGGCTGCTAATTCAAATGTTTTTCTAATCCTGCTATAAAAAATATGCTCCTTTTCCCTCGCTTCAGTCCTATCTTCACCCACAGAGCATCTTGAGTATTTTCACTATTAATAAAGCCCATTACTAAAATGTCCTGAATTGCAGAGTAGCAAACTTCTGACAGATAAGAACTCATCACCCCACCCCCAAGCATATCTTGGAAATGTCCCTTAGCTGGCAGGAGTTGCTGAGAGGCATCATTTCTCTTTCCCCTCATCAGCCTGTAAGAGTCTGGAGTGATTTGTTGCATGTGAACAACAACCACCAGCCTCTGCAACATCACCAATGAACATAACTAAATATAGTACCTACTCTATGAATAATTATTATTGTCTGCACAAGACTGTAATAATTACGTGGTGTTCTCAGCACACACACAGAGTCATGGAGTTGCTTTAAAAAATATGACCTTACCCAGTCAGAACCTGTTGGGGAGGATGATGAGCGGGTACAGATTTTCTCTCCAAGTCGGGCCTGGACAATTACTTGTACTGTCTGGAACAGAAAGAAAAGAATACTTAGTAATGTTCTGGGCTCTGCACAGCCCTCAGTTCAGATCCTGAGCTACATATGCTCGAGTGAAAAAAATGAAAGGGCTGACCATGATATAGAGGAGTTTGCTACACTGTTCTTCAGTTCTAGCCAATTTAAATTATTACATGTAACAGGCAAATGTATTTGAGAAAGAAAATAATTTTAGGCTTACCTTTCTCTGTAAGAACATTAAGAGATAAAGTCAATTTTGCAATCAGGATTTGCAGTTTTCAACAGAAAATTCAGAAAAATTACAAAACTATCCCAAGCCTGGACAACCAAACTAAAGCCAAATTAATCTCTACATTTATACCAAAGCCATTGTCAAATCATTTACTTTCACCTATGTATGAAGTGAGGCCAAATTTTATCATTACATATCACCATCATTCAAAAGAACAGTCTGGTATTATTGTTTTTGGATGCAATATAAAAATTTAGATAGGCTGAAAGAGTGGAGTCCAGCAGAATAAACTACCTAACAGCTGGTGGTTAGACATGCTGCTAGAAACCCAAAGCTGACAGAGGTGTGAAGTGCCTACAACTGATTCTAAAGCAAGATGTTTCTGGAGGAAGGAAGAGGATTTGACAGTAGAAAAAAGGGGAAAAGACATTTTTCTAGTTGTTCTCAGCAATCTCCTAAATTTGACATCACCTTTCCTTGCCTTGTTTTTCATCAAAACAAAACAAAACAACAAACCCAAACCTCAGTCTTGTTACTCTAGCCACACAGAGTACATAATTTGTTTTGTGGGGTTTTTTAAACAAGGAAGAAGAGTCATTTGTCTAAAGGAGAAAAATTACCTTTAAAGCAAAAAATTTGATGAACTTGTCCAGGTCCTTCCTGTCCTGGGAACTGAGATCAGTGTCCATTGCATATGGCAATCTGAAATATAGCACAGGTCTGGGAATGAAATCTTCTTCCAGCTTTCTGTTTAGTTTTTAAAATATTTTTGCCATTAGAGGCCACCTCGAAAGAAACTATAAGTACCAGAGCACTCTACTACCTGTCAAAATCTGAAAATGCTGAAAACTTTGGTATATGAGTGTGAGGTAATAAATGCACGTTGATAGTTTAGCTGGTCAGTTCAAAGATCAAAAAAATTTAAAAAACCAAAGAAGGCTGACAGTTAAAATTCAGTTCTTCAATTTTGCTAGCTTAATTTAAAAAAGCTGAACAAACAAACAACCCAGAACACCCCAACACCACAATGACTGCACTCTATGCCAAGCTAACCATCAGATATGAAGGTGTTTACTTCAAAAATAATGTATCTTTGGCTATGAGCACTGGTCAAAACCAAGCCAAATTGTTTTATTGAGCCTGAAATTCTTAGAAAAGTATTTCAGTGGTATTTCAGCAGAAATCTGTATAATAAACCATTGCTGGTACAGGCTCCACTGCTTCTTCACTTTCAACAAATAGTACTTGCAGTAAAACTATACAACTACAAAATTTACCTACAACCAATTGAAAAGACACATTTTTGACAATAAATAGACTAAAATTCTCTGTTCACTTCTCTTTAAAGCTCTGATAATAAATACTTAGCTTTCACACTGACACTGCCTTGTTTTTCAAAATACAGTTGTTTCTAGGAACACAATGAACTTGCACAGCGTCTGAAGCAGGGCAGGGCAAAGCACTAATCCTATTTTTGTCACCATCATGTCACATGGCCTGGGATAAATCAAAATTCTTCTGTCTCTCAGTTTCTTCACATGTAAGTTAATAATCATATAGAGACCATTGGGGAGGAATGCCTTAATTAGCAGCATTCATTGTAGTTTTTGCTTGTAAGCCTTCAAAGTATTAATTCACTCTTAACCCCATTGCAGTTTTGAGACAGCTAATCAGCCTGAAGCAGCTTGTCAGACATCCCGTATTTACAGAACGTGCTGCTCCTCGCAGGAATGCTGGCAAGCTGAGCTCAGGGAAACCGAGCAACTGCTGAGCACGTTAGTCCGTGTTCAATCATTAAGCAAAGACTGAACTTACAGCAAGGTATGCTGTTTATGCAAATTAAAGCTTGCAGGGCAACAGGGCCAATAGCCCTGTTCACATAAAAAATACAGAATCTTTCATGACCATGCACATGTAGTACTTCTGTCTAAAATATTGCACTTAATGACAGTAAAGCCCAATGCTTTAGGAGCATCAATCAAAAAGGGCTGCAAGGTAAGAATACTGCACTTTACAGAACATTTTATATGCTCTTTGTGCTGATTTCTGAATGACTCTATAAAAAGAAAGCTGGACATACAGTATAGTTGAAAGTTCCTAGGCTACATTCATACCATATCTACTTAAGCTGTACTGTTTTCATTATAAATTATAATTTAAATTGAGAAGTAACAACAAAAGTGATTCAGGATCAGATCAGAAAATTTTCAAATTATCCTTTGGATATTTTAACCTCATTATTAAAAGCATTATCCTTCTTTCCCTGCATCTACCTCCACTAGACAGATTACAGACCCTTTCCACTGCGGGGGATGCAAAAGGAAGTCAGCATTTAGTGCTTGATGCAGTACTTATAATTAAAAAAACCAACCCTTTAGTACAGACATGTACCACTACAAAAAAAAAAAAACCAACACAAATCCCCCCAAACAAACAAAACTCCAGGCAAGAACAACCTGTTATTATTATTTTGACTTAATTAAGTACAGCACTGTAATGGCTGAGGAGGTCTGAGATCTTTGACAAATCTGGTTGATATAGGCAATAAAATACTGGATTAAAAAAATGTTTTTCTCAGTGAAGAGAATGCTGACATTTAAATCCTAAAAAAAAAAAAAAAATCATCATACTGGGTTTCAATGTGAAAAGTGATATGTAACTCCTGCAGAAAGATGCAAAGAAGTATATATCCTGATATTGTGGGAGAGCTGTCAAATAAAGCACCAACATTTGCTTTTTGAGGCTGGAAAGAAGTTCTGGTATCAACTATTTAATATGCTTGGGAACTAATGGAAGGTGTTAGGCTCACTGGTCTGTTAGGAAAGGAAACAAAGATGATCATCAGCATGGCTCTATGTGCAGTACAGGAATTCGTTCTAATGACCCAAATATCTCTAGAGGCGAGAAACAGCTACCAGAGGGTTCAAAAAATAAGAGCCTCATGGTTCTGCCCTGCTGCACCAGAACGGGCATTCTTGGAAGATATGAAACTACCTGTAACATTCACCAGACATTTGGAGATTCATACTGTTACCTCTCAAGCTCCAATTGCCAGCAACAGTTAACCCACTAGTGTCCAAAGTAGAGCAGAAAGTATCAGGCAAGGTTTCCTGGAAAGGAATAAGCAATTTAATGGGAAAACTGGAACTTTGGAACTTAGCTCCTGAAATATATAAGAGCTTTCAACTGACAGCCATCATCTCCTCATTTTTGTAGGAAGGCCTCTGGTGACTGCCTGAGACCTTCTAAGGTTTAAAACAGTGTTCACCTTTAGAGTAAGTGTTGGTAAGAGTTAAGATGGAGCTAGAATTATGGCAAACTTTTTATTTACAAAAATTCTTTGGTACTCTCAAGTTAGCTGCCACAGCTGACCTGAACAGAAGGAAATTCTTTAAACTTAGTTCCACCAAACTCAGTCGACTTCTCATGTCCAGTAGGTTGCAATGCCAGCATGGCTCCTTAAGGGCTACTGCACAGGCCTATGCTGGCTCATTTTACAGTGAATAACGACTAGAAGTAAATAACCTTTGGTCTAGGTTAGAAAAAACAGATGATTGATTTCCCCTCAACCAGGTAATCCTTTAAGTAAACTGATATATTTACCAGCACATGATGCAACAAACATCTTTTCCATATGGCTTTTTGCTTTGTCTCCCACTTCCTGCAACACCCATTTTTATCTATTGCTTTTATTTATATGCTTTTGTCTTCACTTTACTGTGAACAGAAACATCAGAAACAGGCTGTTCAAAGGAGAACTGCCACAAGTGACTCTCTTGACTAAATCCTTATTCCTTCTCCCAAGGTGGGGACAGATTTTATGCAACAGTTTAACATCTAAACGTTGTGCCTTATATGCTCTACTGCTATTTATACCCTCCTGTGAGGAGAAGGACACATCAGCATAAGGTGATGGCGCTGTTTGCATGATGCAAGGAACTGCAAGAGCCCTCCCCTTAACGCCTCCCAGTACATCTCTGTGACACCTACAGGAACAGGAAAAGAGCAGGAGCTCCTGACACATACCAGGCACTATTACTACTGCTGGGGAAAGCATATAGAGGCTGCATCCATCATCTCCTGTATTTCTCTCTGAGCCATGGCTGCTACAACTTAAAGTTATTTTGCTTTCTTTTCAACCAGACATTCATCAATGCAAAATAATTATTCATGGTTCTTATCCTATCCTAGAGTAAAATTGAAAGGACAAGAGGGAAGAAACCAGAGTGGGTGTAGCTGTAAAGGAGAGGGCTGTGGACAGCTTGTTCCCAGTTACCTGACTGTGCACCCCAGACTGCACTCCAATCTCCAAGGATGTCCTATGAGAAGCTCAGAAAAGCCTTGTTGAACCATGAAGTAAACAAGAAGCACATGGAAGTTTTTGAAGCTTTTAAGAGTGCCTAGAACACATCCTCCCTTCAATGAACAAGAAGCTTCACTGCATATTTTGAGCACGGTAATAAGCAACTATATAAGTATCTTCATAAACACAGTGCTCTGTTTCAAGACTGGGCCTACAAGTCAAACACCAGTATCCTACAATTACTTAAAATTAATCTCCATTTTGCCTTCTTAGTAGATTAGTCAGAAACCTATAGAGAAATACCAAACAGTTTAAGGTGTGACACTCTCATTCTTTAAAGTTTATGGATTTTTTTAAAGAGAAGATTAAATTCTATAGCAGAATAGAATAATTTCAATAGCCGAAAAACTGTTTCACATGAAGTAAACACTCTGATGTAATCAAAGGCTCTGTAGTTCACAATATGCTCAGGTTTTGACTGATAAAGAGGTAATTTTTCCTCCTGATCAGGAAACAGATTCACTTTATAACCAATAATGACTCTTCAGCTTAGTTAATACCTTACTAAAGTCAGCACTGCCAGCTCCACTGACTGAGAAACAAAATTAAGTCATTCCTGTTGACCAGCAGACACATTCTGTACTTCCCTAAGGTCTAAAATTGGTATCAGTCCAAAGGTCCATCCTCTCAGTTTGTTTGTCAAGCGAAAGTATACAGACTACACCAGAATCTGCTTCTACATACACTGCACTGTAATCACCAACAAAATCCCCACCTATCAACTGCTGTATGAACACATGTTCAGAAATGTTAGGATTATACAATACCATTTAAGCAAAATAAAGTGATCCTGTGTGATCCTTCCGGACATCTACAGATAGCCTGGCTCATCTGACTTATTTCTTGCCACAAGAAGGAAGGGTCCTCCAAGTCAGGCCACTCCTGCAATAATCTGGAGATGCTCTAAACTTTATTTGGATAGCCAACTAATTTTCCGCTAAGGGAGTAATTTGCCATATTTTTCCTCCTTGGTATGTGCCTAGTCACATCGCTTTTGGGATTTGTATGTGGGCAGTTTGTACGCTTAGTTAAAGAGTTGCTTTTCTACCTGTCGACTGACATGGAAGGCATATCTGCTCCCACCGAATCCACGGGAACGATTTTGACTGTGCCCTAAGCGCCACACCTCCAACAGGAAAGAAAGATACGACCACCTGTAAACCTCTGCTCTTCCCCAGCATGCCACAAACTGGCATCTCACAGGAAGACTATAAGAGTATATAATGGAGCGTGGGGTCTCAGATTCTACTATTTCCAACAGGCTCTGAAGCATTTTGATTTTAAATGACCACTTGCTGAGATTACAGCGGGCCACGTCTTTCCCAGGCTCCACTGACAGCCACCAGTCGTTAGGAAAACGAATCGCAGCCGACAGCGACTGTCGGGAACCGACGACCCCCGCGAGCAGCGAAGCAAAGTAAAACGGAGACGCGAAGCCGTAGCCAAAGGTTTAAGAGCCACATCACAGCCCCCTCCCCTGGAAGGGCTCCCGCAGGCTGGCGGAGCTCGCAGCCCTGCCCTGCGGGGCCCGCGGTACCTGCGCGGGGCCGGCAGTGCTGGCGGCGCGGCGGCTCATCCCGTGCGGGGCCCGCTCCGTCTCCGCGCCCCGGCGCTTCCTCCGCGCTCCCACCGGGCGCGGGGAGAGCCCCGCGGCCCCGGGGCCGCGACCGCCGTCTCCAAGCCCCGAAGCCGCTCCGGGGCTCCGGCCGGCGGCCCTCCTCTTCCTCGTTCCCGGCCCCGGGGTCTCGCCGCGAGTGTCAGCGCCGGCGGGGGCGCACGGCCGGCGGCGGGGGCCGGGCCGGGGCTGCCGCTGCCCTCAGAGCCGCGGGCTGTGCCGCGCAACCGCCATCGCCGCCGCCATCGCCGCTGTTTGTTTTCATCCGCTGCGGGCGGGGGGGGAAAGAAGGAAGGAGGAAGGGAGGGAGGGAAGAAGGGAGGTGCCTGAGTGTCCGCAGCGGCACTTTCCGCACGCAGCCGCCGCTCCCCGCGGCGTGCTGAGCCCACAGCCCGAGGCGGGCGGGAGGTCGCCGAGGCCGGGAAGAGCAGGGCAGCGCCCGGCGCCGCTCCCGCCGGTAGCCCCTGCCTGTGGCGAATCTGTCGCGGCGAATGTGGGGCCGGGCCGGCGGGGACCGCCTGGGAGCGGCCGCGGGGCCGGTAAGGGCTGGGAGGACTCCGGCGGAGGTCTGGCGGTCCGTGGGTCTGGGGCGCCCGGCAAGGGCAGCGCCCGCCGGGGCTGCGAGACTGCCCGCGGGGCTGCCCGCGGCTCTGTGTGCCGTGCCCCGGCGGCGGTGGCTGGGGACGGCTCCAGATCCCTCTCCGCCACGGGAGGTACATTCCTGTCAGCGCCAGGCGGAGTCGTCGGCCCCGCGGTGAGCCCAGCTGCCTGCCCGTGTATTTAAAGCAGAAAAAGAAAAGTAAAAAGATTTGCTGGATGATCAGACTGAAAGGAAAGTGATAACGGAGTCTGGAAAGCTCATCAGTAACAACTGTTCTGAGTATCCTTTTTTGCTTTATGCAGGTGAAGCCTCTGGGAAAGCCCTGTCATAGAGGAGCCCCAGGGGACGCCCGTGGCCGTCAGCCATGGCCGTACCTATCGCGGTTCTTGACTGCGACCTCTTGCTCTATGGCCGCGGACACAGGACTTTGGATCGCTTCAAGCTGGAGGATGTCACGGATGAGTATCTAGTATCCACGTACGGCTTTCCCCGACAGTTCATTTGCTACCTGGTGGATCTCCTGGGAGCCACTCTCTCACGCCCTACACAGCGGTCCAGGGCCATCAGTCCAGAGACGCAAATACTTGCTGCGCTGGGTTTCTATACCTCTGGCTCCTTCCAGACTCGCATGGGGGATGCTATTGGCATTAGCCAAGCCTCGATGAGCCGCTGTGTTGCCAATGTAACCGAGGCGCTGGTGGAAAGAGCCTCACAGTTCATTCACTTTCCTAAAGATGAAGCTTCTCTACAGACGCTGAAGGATGACTTTTATGGACTGGCAGGAATGCCGGGAGTGCTTGGGGTGGTTGACTGCACCCACGTGGCAATCAAAGCGCCCAATGCTGAGGACCTGTCTTATGTGAACCGAAAGGGTCTCCATTCCCTGAACTGCCTCATGGTCTGTGATTCCAGAGGAGTCCTCCTTAGTGCTGAAACACACTGGCCAGGCAGCCTGCCTGACTGCACGGTGTTAGAGCAGGCAGCCCTCACAAGCCAGTTTGAAACTGAGCTACATAAAGATGGCTGGTTACTTGGTAAGTAAACTTTTTATCCTTGTTTTCAGTGGAAAGTCTATATTGTCTCCTTACTGAGTGAGAACCTCTGGGTACAAGTGATATGTTTACTTTCAATTGCTTTCCTGCAAATTGCTTTGAGATTTATGACTCAGTTTGGACAACCTTTATCTTGGAAGCTTAGAACAGTAACTTCTAATCTGTGTTTTATACAATCTGACTGTTGTATGTATTAATCCTTATTCATTCTGTTAATAGCTTTCTTTCAGTATTTTACACCTTTCCATGCTGAATTATGCAATTTTTAATTCTAGGTACTGCCCTAGTCCAATTGTTTCCCGTTTTATGCAGTAGATTAATTCTTTTAAAACTCTTCTGTGGAAAATCTTATGTAAAACTGAACGCCTTTACTTTGTTACATTTGTAAACTAGAATTACTTCTTCCTTTACTGTTTCTTTTAGCCAGAGGAAGAACTTATTCTTTATCTGCTGTACCAGAAAACCAGGCTGAAACCTGTGGCTAACTGTAGGTGTGTAACCTGTCCTGCTCCTTTCCACTACTAATAGGTGACAGCTCCTTTTTGCTCCGGACGTGGTTGATGACCCCTCTGCACATTCCCGAGACGCCTGCAGAGTACCGCTACAACATGGCCCATTCCGCCACTCACAACATCATTGAGCGCACGTTCAGAACCATTCGGTCGCGGTTCCGCTGCCTCGATGGCTCCAAAGGCACCCTGCAGTATTCTCCAGAGAAGTCCAGCCACATCATTCTGGCCTGCTGCGTGCTTCATAACATCTCCCTGCAACACGGGCTGGACGTGTGGTCTGCACCAGCTGCAGGACACATGGAACAATCGGAAGAAGAATACGAGCAAATGGAATCAGTGGACTCAGAAGCCTGTCGTGTTCGTCAGGAACTTTTACTTACTCATTTTAGCTAATGTTGTGACAGAGAGAAGGCTTTTAGCAGTTCATCTGGGAAGTTATCTGGAGCAAATATGCCCCTTCCTCTTCTTTAAGCCTGTAAAGACTTAAGCAGATGTGAGACAAGAAGAAATATACTCTCTTCATTTCAGGCAAATTTCTGAACTTCTCTCAGTCTCTCCAGAGATTCTGTTTAATTGGTACATTTTTGCTGTCCTGATGCTTAGAGGCACCCCATTCACTTGACTTAGAGAACAAGGACTAATGTGACAACAGTGGGAAAATTAGGGAAATTGCCTTTTATAGTGATGGACAATCTGTAAACCTCGCACTGTTTTACAAGTGCAATTCTATTCCACCATGTAACTCAAAACACTTATGATTGATTAAACAGTATTTTGCACAAATTAAATTTCCACATGAGCTCCATTCTACTATGAATTCATGAGCAGCAAAGCAAACATTTATATTTTTCTTTGCAGGTATAAATTCTTGCTCAACACCATTTTGCCGTTTCGTACATCTCACAAACCCCAGTGATTTCTCTGAAAGCTGGCAGCTGTGTTCTGGGAGAGTCTGGCATTTTGCTGGGCACACACTAGTGCTTGCACAGATCTGGAAGGATTGAACATTCCTTCTTTCCCAAACAGGCTGGAGAAGATGTTAAGCTATGGTGACTCTGTCGGGTACTTAACAGACATCAGGAAATAGGCTAGTGGAGGTGAAGCTCCTTTTCTCCTGCAGCAGGAAACTGGTCATCTTGTTGGCTGCTGTAATAGAAATGCCAAGATCTGACTGGGTCACAGAAATTGAACCGGTTGCAAAAGTTCTCCTTTTAGATCAAAGCAGAGGTGTGGAAAGGCTGCTCTAGCAATGCTGGCAATCTACTTCTTCAGTGGAACAAGATGACTGATACATGCAGTTGTTGCTGGCACAAGGCTGGGCAGTTTCCTGGAAATGTTCTGTTTCTAAAAGGCACAAGTGTTTCCAAGGATCTCATGACAGCAGTCTAAGAAAATTTAGTTTCTTAGATTATATTGTTTACTGGGCAGTAAATGTAACAAAAGTGGTAGGGAATGCAGAAAACTACAAAACTGTAGCTGCTTAAAGTAGCAGTGACACTGCCTGACATTGTGGATCTGTCCTTTTAGAGGAAGCAAGCCTGGATCATGCCCCACGTTTGATGAATACAAGAGTATGGGACATGTTTCACAGTGCAGGGTGGACACACCGGGTCAGATACACTCTGCCAGGTTTGCAGTGGCAGTAGGCACTTACTATCTCTCAGAAAATCAAGCATGCTTGATGATGTGTAAACAAAACGTTTTTAGAAGCCTCAATGAGGGCTTTAAAATATTATGTACAAAGATCTCAGATGTAATTCAGTTTTCTTTATGCAAGGTGTTATACAAGAACTACTGTTGGTTACTGCAGCAAAACTCCTGCTCCTTTTGCCTAGGAAAAAGCAGACAAGCATTGTTTTCTAAAAAAAGCATTTTTAAGGTAAGAGGTGCTGCCATATATGGTGCCTGATGGCTCATAATCACATCTGACAGTCTGTACTAAAAATACTGTTCACTAGACCAAAACACCAGCAGACACTGAATGAGCTGTGTGGGGGTGGTAAGGTCAAGTGAGACTTGGACATGTGTAGGTACAAACATTGTCACTTAATGACATGCTGGAGTTTCTCAATTTACGCTATGAATAGCTCTTCCCAGCGTGTGCTGAGGCCAGAGCAAACTCAGAGTGAAGGTATTTCCTGGAACACATTTGCTGCTCAGTTTTGTTTTCTTTCAGACGCTGTCACTTGTGGTAGAGTTTAATTTCAAAACTGATCTCACTGCTTATCAGTTTGGGCAAAAACTGCATCAAGCCATGCCAGACAAAAGCCATCCACTAACACTGTTCTTACCTGAGTCAGATATCAGTACCCTTCTCTTCACTCAGGATATTTAGGGAGCGGTTTCCACCACATACTCCTAAGCAGCTTCCTTGAAAACCATTCACCCAGACTTTTTTCTTTTCCCTCATGGGGCCAGGTTGCTCAGAACTCTGTCCATCCAACCTGGCCTTGAACACTCCAGGGATGGGGAATTCACAGCTTCTCTGGACAAGCTGTTCCTGTGCCTCACCACCCTCACAGTAAAGAATTTTCTCTACTATCTAATCTAAACCTACTTTCTTTCAATTTAAAGCCCCATCTTTCCTCTTAAGTTCCCTTCAAGTACCAAAAGGCAGCAGTTAGGTCATGCAGGAGCCTTCTCTTTTCCAGGCTGAAAAAAATTTGAAAAAATTATTTTCTGCAAATTGCTTTGAGATTTGTGATTTGGTTTAGAAAATCATGCTGTGAAAAGCCACTGTCCACAAAGCAGACAGAGGACTCCTGCAACTTTATTTACTTTATTTGAATAAAAGGAAGGAGTTCACTGGGCCATCCCCTGGCGGATTCTCTAAAGATTTTGGAGGACACAGCCTCCTTTTATCCTAAACTCCCGACTGCGCATTGCCCTGCTCCTTTCCCCATTGCCTGAGCTATTGGGAAGGTACAGCTTCTCCATGTGCCTGCTACATATTCCCCTAAAGTTCAGGAGCTCAAACTATTTGGGTTTTGCGACAAGCTGGAGACCTCCGGGGCCAGACCTGGGCGTGTGGGAAGACGTTAACGCCCATTTCTGCTTTTCAGTCTAGACAACCCTTATTTTGGAAGTCTAGAACAGTAGCTTCCAATCTGTTTAATACAGTCTATGGTACGTGTTAGTTTACATTCATTCTGTTAAGAGCATTTTTGCAGTATCCCACACCTCTCTAAACGAAATTATTCAGATTTTAATTCTGGGCCAGGGCGCTGCCCCGCCGTTCTCGGGGCTCGACTGCTCTCGCCTGCCCTCCGTCGCCGCCGGGCGGCGGTGGAAGACCTCGTCGCTCGGCTGGCGCTGCCTGGCGGCGTTCTAGCCTCGGCTGCTCGGGCCTCGATCCCGCGCTCGGCGCCGCCGCCGTTGGACCCCGCTCGGCGCTCGGCTGGCCCGCCTGGCCGGGGCTCGGCGCGGCGGCGGCGACGGCGACCGACCCACCGAGCGCCCGACCCACCGACCCGGGGCCGCTCCGCCGCCGGCCCCGCTCCGGCCCGCCGCTGCAGGTACGCTCCGGGCCTACGCGCGCCGCCGGCCCCGCGCCGAGGCCGCGCCGCCGCTCCCGGGCGGGCGCGGCCGGCCCCGCGGCGGCGCCCCGGAAGGCGGCAGTACCGACCCGTGTGAGGCCGCGGCGGGCGCAGCGCGGCCGGGAGGGAGTCGGGAGTCGCTGCCGGGGCCGCTGTACGGGGGGAGTTCCGGGACCGCGGCCTTGCGGTGGGGGCGCGGGGAGGCCGGCGCCGCCTCGGGCCGGGCGCCGCGGCGGGAGGGCGCAGCCCCGGAGGGCGTCCGCAGGCCCGGCGGGGAGCCCGTGCCCCGTGCCGCCTCCTGAGCGTGCCTCAAGCCGGGTTTTCTGTCCCAGCCCGGGCGCTGGTGCTCCGCCGTCCGTCGCCCCTCTTGCTGCCCCTGCGGCACCATTCGGGGCCCGGCCTCGGTCCAGCTGCGTTCTGGGGCTGGTGCTTCGGGATGTTTTTTATTGTTGTTGGTGTTTTCCGGCCTTACCCGAATAAAATGTGCGGCAAGCGTTGTCTGCTCTAGCTTTCCTGTTTTTCATCGTGTATTGCAGAACACCTGCTTGTGAAAGTAGTGTTTGGTATAAAATGCATTCAGGTGTGCCTCTTGTTACGTCTTGTCCTGTGAGGAAACGAGCCCAGCTAATTCACCAGCTATGGGAATGTTTTTGTTGCCATCTACCATATTTTTCCTGCCAACACATAAATTTCTGTAGTGTTTGTGTAGTGTTTTTTGGGTTACTTGTGATCCTGTCAATACCATGCATTCAGCTGCCTTTGGAAAGAATTTTTCCTGTACTAAATCAGTATTTAATCTTCAAGAGATCCTGTAGGTGGTTACGAGTAGCTTTTCTCACTACACATTTTCAAGTATTGTTCTGTGGTGATAGATGGATTCAAGAATTGCTATCTAGATATAAGCCTGCCTTCAAGAAGATAGATTGTATGAAGTCTGTAAATATGGTCAGTGCTCAGTGCTGCTCTGAATGAAGTTCAGTTCTCCTCTGTTTGAAGTTTTCTTTAGTCTTTATTTAAAGACCCAGTGTGTTTTTCTATATTTGTCCTTGTTTACTGCTCCACCCAGCTTGGTGTCCTCTGCAAATGTCATCTGGCTTCTTTGCCTTTGCCACTCCCATCCTCTTTCAAATTGCTGATGGGAATGTTAAAAAGGGACCTAAGAATGACCTGCTGGTAATGTGCACTTATTGCCAGTCCATTATTGGTCTCTTAAGTTTGTTGTTGGGTCAGTTTTCAGAATGTGGTATGGGGTTGAACCCATGCAGATTTGAATGCCTTATGGGTGAATCAGGCAACAGGACCTGAAATCTCTGCTAAATTTAAAACCCTTTCTTGTGTTCTGAAAGACTGTTGTAATGCATTTCCTAACATTCATAACTCTTCAGTGTAGCTTGTGTGCCAGTTCTGGAGTCCACAACTGGTGCTTCTTTGGGTAATTTTATTTTAAAAAATTGGTCCATTTCTATTTTGATGGTCACAAATAAGAGTATTTTTTGTGGCAGTGAGGCTGTTAATGAGTAGGGCTATCCACTAACATTTACATTTTTCCTGATGCTTGGAATGAAGAATGTATTTGGATCCAGATGTCTGGATGTGCCTTTTCAGATTGAGTTGCTGGGAGTTTCTGCTGAATATTTACTTTTGCTAACAGCTCCTTCTCAGTTTTCTTTCTTTTGCCCTTTTCTGAGTCATAACTGACCCTCTAGATTCTTGTTTGGTTGTTTCCTACTTTTCCATTTTCCGAGCAGCACTTTTAACTTTTATGCAGCTGTAACAACCAGTTCTAAAGAAGGCAAGCAATGATCCAGTCTGCTGGTATCCCTCTGCCAGAAGTTTGGCATTTGAATAATTATTTTTTTAAGAAACTTCTGGAAAGAAACTCTAGTACAAATCTTTTATGCCATGATTAGCAAACTGACTGAACTCATGGGTCTTGCAAGGTTCTTGTTGATGTGAATATTTACTACTAATGCAAGCAGCACTAAGGTACTTTTTTTTTCACTCTTGAGTTTCTGGGGGCCTGATAAAGGGCATAATGTATGATAATAGTTACCTTGTGTGTGTTGTGTTAGTAGCCCTGTGCTATCTTAGCAAGGAGGGTAATAGAAAAAAATACTAGTAAGGGATGGACAGAAGAATTTCGTTTTACAAAAGTGTATGACAATGTGATTTACAGTGGAAGAGGATAAATATTAGAAATATTTTACTGGAAGGTTATTGCAGGATATAGTAGTTGCCTAATGAAAG